GTTGCACAAGAATCCCAGGCATCAAGTCCTTGCGAGATGTCCCTGCGAATCATAGCCGGCCCACGAAGTTGGATTCTTTGGGACATGGGTTCGTAGCGCTCTTGTGGATAGGTTGGAAGCCCCATCTCGATAGTTTGCAGTTCCTCGTCCCCCTTCAAACCGCCGGACTCCACTGTGCACCTGACCGTTGTCAAGACATCGAACAGTTTAGCAGAGCAAAGGGCACCCTCAGCATAGGTGGGGAGAACTGATAGCAAAGCCTGGAGTCCGTGTCGAATGGATTCCAGGGGCCCGGTCACCGCATCGATTTGTTCATCTAGGGTCCGGGTGGACAGGTGTCTCAGAACCTCTTTGGCCCAAAGGACTTTTTCGGGACGGGTGTCGATCATTGCGAGCCGACTGCCGAAGTTCAGCTAGCACCTGAAGAGAAATCGCTGCGACCACTGAACACCGGAACAAAGTTCCATGTTGGTGTGTAAATGCACATGCATGTATGCCCTTGAATGCACACTCACAGACTCGATCGGTTTTACCTCGATCATATGAATCGCGAAGCTCACTACACTACAGCCTCTTAGGAAGCACTGCTCTCCATTCCTCTGGGATACACGGTGCTTTGCATCCTCGAAGGTAATGTGCGACTGCGATCAAAGCGGCATCCTCACAATTATCGCTGGCATCCATTGCTTGGAAAAGCAATATAGCTTGGTTTGGCTTCTTCTCTCCCACAAAGCTTTCGGGCTTGGGTAGAACAGACTCTCCCAGCTGCATAACCTCGAATGCTCTCCTCGCAAATTGGCGAGTGTAGATCCTTAGAGAAGATTCTAGTCTTGGAAACACAGAAACCTGAACAGAAAATTCCTAGAAAGCACCCAAATCGGCCGAGAATCCCAGTGTCTGTCAAGTTGCGATTGCCCTCGAAGCACTGTTTCCCCTTCTCGTTGACATACCGCTTTGTAGTCTTGAAGGTAGGATCTTGTAAGCTGCGTTGCAGCTTTCTACTGCTGAAGAAAAGGACCCTCGAGTTGCTCCAGAGGCTGCTGAGCTTTGGCGTTCTGGAGCCGAACGAAGCCATCCACAGTTCCAGACGATAAACCTCGGCTGCACAAGGGTGTTGGTTGGGGTTGGGGTTGGGGTTGGGGCCTTGGTGTTGGTGTTGGTGGCGGCGGTGGTGGCGTTGCTTGTAGTGTTGCAGTTGGTTTTGGTGTTGGAGTCTGTTGTTGGCGGTGGTTGTGGTACTGGCATTGTTGGTGGCGGTGCACAACGGCTAATAATGGAGGCCTCGCTCGGATGAGCAGCACAAACTGTTGTTGATTCTTCTATTAGCATTATTCCAGTAGCATAGTTTACATATAACATATATAGTAGCGTAGTAATATAGTAGTTATAGGGTATAAGTATAGTACTCAGTAGCAGCAGTGGTGGTAGTATACTAGTAGTCGTCGTCGTAGTAGCAGTAGTAGCAGTAATAGTGGTAGTAGTGGTAGTAGTGGTAGTAGTGGCAGTAGTAGTAGTAGTAGTAGTAGTAGTAGTAGTAGTAGTAGTAGTAGTAGTAGTAGTAGTAGTAGTAGTAGTACTCTAGTAGTATAGTGTAGTGGTGGATAGTGGTGGTATAGTTCTGACTCCGAAAACCGATGACCCATCTGCGTCCTGAACCTGCACCCCCGCTTGTGCTACCTTCAGAGTCGTCGCAATAGTACTATATCGTATTATCATGAGAGTTTCAAATTTGAAACTCTCATGATCATACGATATAGTACTATGTTACTATAAGGCCTAGTTTCGTGGGTTGAGGTGGTTTTCGCTTTAAAGAGGGTCGATCTAGGCTTGTCACACATTGCGGGATTATTACACTGCATAAGAGGGTAGCTTTCAGGAATTTGAACACGTGATATTCGGGCTTCCGGCTTCCGGTTAAGGACTATAAATCACCTGAAGAAAATACCCGAAGAGAACCTTCACGAAGGCCTCCTATACACCTGGGCCGAAGCTATTTGAATTCAGGAATTCTAGGTCCTAGGCAGCAAGCTTGACCCCCAAGACCAAGCGTTCGGCAATGCCAATGGCACGAGTTACCTGTAGTTTGTCTCGAAGCCACTTGAAGCGTTGACTCGGCAAAAGCAAGGATGTTCTGGGCTGCTCGATCACCCACCATTGACCCAAAGCTGCAGCCAGAAGGCATAGAAAGGCCGACCTGGATATTGGACCCCGGAGCATTAAGTTTGAAGTGTAGTTAAGTCAGGGGATCTCTTTCGAACCGGGCCTTGCGGCCATCAGGTTAGCCGTTCTCACCTTCTCGTAGCCTTCAAAGCCTTCGGGATTAGCATGTGATCTTCTTGTAGACGGGCGGGAGATAGAAACCCACGAGCTGCACACAACACCAAGCCAAATGCAGCTATTCGGCCGACCACATAGAACCGCTGCACAGTAAGTCCTTGGCCCCAATACAACAGTACGACACAAGTACCCTGAAACCTACCTCTGTGTAGAGATAGCCCACACTGATAATGTTCGAAGCAAGCCACCCAAATCCCGAAGATTCGCATATATCCATGCCCCGGCCATATTTCAAATCGCAAGCGACCACTTCCTTACCCTCATAGTAGAACTCCTTGGAAAGGGTTGCTGATCCACTGAAGAGCTCCGCAAGGTCGATGTCCTGGCGAATTGTGGGATTACATCACTTGCAAACTTATGATGGGTCTATCTGGGAGGTAGGATCTGTGTATGATGGGTTTATCCGGGAGGTAGGATCAGTGTTTGAGCAGAAACCAGGTTGGTTTGGATCCAAATTTCCAGGGTTTAGTGGGGCATGCGTATATGCGTATATTCGTGTGTGTGTGTGTGTGTGTGTGTGTGTGTGTGTGTGTGTGGGTGGGTGTGTGCGTGTGTGTGTGTGTGTGTGTGTGTGCGTGTGTGTGTGTGTGTGTGTGTGTGTGTCTGTAGGGTATTTTAATATTGTATTCCAAGCCTAATGATTTTTCGGTGCCAGGGGTATTTTCGCGCATTAAAAGGATATGCGAAATCTCGTACCCTATATGATGGTAACAGATGTAATCCAAGATCGTACCCGTCTATGTGTACCCTGATACCTGTAATATAAATGCACCGATACTGCGTTCCTAGTAAATAGTTAGGATCTCTTCAAACCTACAGCAGCGAATTTCGGGGATGTGTGGCACGATAAAGGATTTGCCTAAAGGGATTCGTGCTATAACACAAATAAACCCCTATCCCGAAACTCTCGGAGTCCAGTTGCTCCAGACATTCGCTAGCAAGACATAACACACCCCAACAAAGCTAATGTTCATATATAACCTTAAGTAGCAGGCCACCACTCCTTGTCATCATCAATGCTGTCGTTCCATAGCAGAAGCAGGATGCACAGGACGAAGACCTGAGGCACAGAGGAGTTTCCGATTTCGATTCGAGCAAGCACCCCAATATTCAGAACAGGCCAGTAACAAAGGAGAACTGTTTTAGTGTGTACCCAAGAAAACACAGGCCCACGGGCCTAATGCAGAGAGAGGTATTGTAAATTTCAACATATATTACTATATAGACTTTTACAACCCTAGAAAACCAGAATCACATGTATTAAAGAAGCAACAACGACACCGAGCTTCCAAAACATTGCCCCCCCAAGCTCCCAGGCAGGAGTATGTAACAGAAGTATATTCAAAACTGCGAGTATGGGTGTAGCTCCAGAATGTGAGTACGATATACACTAAAACCCTACATGTGCCAGCCCAAATACCTTCGGTGATCCGAGGCGAATCAAGCTGATCGCCACATCTTCGCAGCTGCGCTTCACCATTTCAAGAACAGCGGAGGCAAAGCTACTTATCAGGATGTCCAGAGCTTTCCTAAACCATCGATCAATCTTATACAGTCTGAAACTCCATGCTATCAGCATCGTAGCCCATAAGCCGGAAAGCCCAGCCCTTGGACCGAGTGCAGCATGACTGTCGTTCGGTGTCGCAAACATCAGAAACAAGGCAAACTCCTGTATGCGAACGGCACATAAACTAGCGAGGCTGACTGCTCCTTGCCCCCTGGCGCTCTGATGCAGCTGCACTGAGCAAGCGAGTCCGGGCGCCGTTCCGCCGAAAGAAGTTCTTGACCTGGCCAAAGTATCATTTGGGGTTTACAAAAGCAAGATCAAGCAAAACCTTGACAATGCAAAGGCTTCAGTCTGCACTGTTAACGACTGCAGGGGCAAGAACTCTTTTGCTTCCAGACTCCAGACGGTATTGTCACAGCCATGGTCGTGGACCCTGAATCTGAACAGAGACCGCACAGCTGACACGAATTGCATGAGAGCCAGCTGCAATCTGAAAGCATGCACACGCTAGCATTGAAGCACCCCTGGCGAGCCCTATTGGCTCTTCCCCGGTAGCGCACTCATACTATCAGAAAGCATGGACCCCAACTGGCCCGTTGCAGCACCATCCTATGGATGAAAATGCAGCCTTGTCAAGCCCGCACAGACGATGGAACCATTGTGCACTTAAGTTGCTTACCATAGCCCATAGCTTCTGTGCATCCTCCACTATAGGACGAATCAAAGACCCGGGCTCAGGCTTGGTCCAGTGTGTCTAGAAACCGGGTAGCTGCCAAAGCACAGCTTTTGTACATGGCAACTCTCGTAGCAACATCCTCGTTCTGGGTGAACTGCTTCGCGAAGTCATAGGAGTCCGACTGCAAAGGGCGGAGGAAAGAGCTGTCCATCTACTTTAAGGTGCCAGACAATACCCTGTATCAAACCCCTCTGATTGCATGCTATCGAAGGGCATGAGGATGTGGGCATCGATCGGTATTAGTAGACTGATGTCCCAGAATACATTGAGGAGTTTATGGGTGCCGTATTGTAATACTATTATATGGGTCGCTTCAGAAAGCTTACATGATAAAACAGAAGAACCCCTCAAGCCAATAGTAACCATTATATTATTCTATTTGTGCTAACATAAGTTTAAGACGCAAAGCCCAAAGTATAGTTAACCAACAGAACCCGGCCTGAGCCGCCGATTGCTTGCCCCCAGGAAGGTGGGGCAGGATATTCCGGAATGCAAGAACACATCCCTCCAAAGCTTCTGGGTGTAGCTCTCCGACTGGGGCCGATAGCGGCGAGCAAAGGTGTTAGGCCACACAAAGCCACTGAGGGTCTGCGCTGGTGCCCGCTTGGGCTTCGGCTGCAAAGCCTGGTCTGCGGATCTCTTCCCACGAACCCTGCACCCAGGAGCATCGGCATCAGCAGCTGCTGCGTGCGCGGTTTTGGCTCTCTTGCTCTTGTGCTCCGCCGTCTCGGTCTCCGGACACTCCTGGAGATCCTTCTTGGGTCGCCCACCTTTCTTCTTCGGCTTGGTCTCCGAACACTCTGGCTGATCCTTCTTGCATCGCCCACCTTTCTTCTTCGGCTCGGTCTCCGAAGACTCTGGCTGATCCTTCTTGGGTGGCCCACCTTTCTTCTTCGGCTCGGTCTCCGAAGACTCTGGCTGATGCTTCTTGGGTCGCCCACCTTTCTTCTTCGGCTCGGCAGGCTCAGAAGCCTCACCATCCTCGTCTCCGGCTTCTGCCTCAGACTGGTCGTCATTGGCACCCTCATCCGGAGTGGACTTCCGCATGCCGCGGCCGCCGCGGCCTCTGCCACGGCCCCCACGGCCCCTCGCACCCTGCTTTGCAGCAGCCTTCGCTGCCGCTTTTGCCTCCTTCTCGGCCTTCTTCACCTCCTCATTGGTGCTCTTAACTCGAAGCTGATCGTCACGACTGGGATACGACTTCACCGGTGTGATATCAGCCACAACAACACCTCTGGGACTCGGGGTCTCTGTCTCGGCTGGCGGCGCAGGGACTGCAACCGGCGACTTCGTGTCCTGAGGACTCAGGACCAAAGTCCTTTCCTCAGCAAAGGTCTTGGCCGGGGGCGATGGCACAGGCTGATCCAAAACAGACAAAGCATCCTGCAACAACTGAGTGTTCACCTCGAAAGCCTGTGTTTCCACGGCATCCGGATTTGCCGCGGAAGTAGCAGGCAATGCAGCAGGCTTCACAGGAGGCGAAGGGTTTGGCTCATCATCAGAATCCACAGCGATCGGTCCTCCAAAACTACAAATATCGTGTTTTACGAATGGGCTTTTATAGACATGATCGACTGTATGATGCACAATTCCTTGTGGCAGGCTCTTGACCAACTGCTTCACGGCACGCTTCCGCTCTATGGTCATCCTCGAATGCAATATGGCGAGCTGATTACATAGAATGGATCATGGAATCAATCAACCTACGTACTTGACCGTGAAACATCGCCCAGCTGCAAGCGCTTGGCCTCGAGCTTCAGCTCCGCGATTCGGAGCTGCACTTCCAAGTCCTCCTTGGACAACGGCCGATCCTGCGCAACATCATTGGCCTTCTCCTCATCCCGGGTGTCCTGCGGCACGTCGTTGGCCGGGGCCGGAAGCACGACATCTGCTGCCGTGCCCGCTGGCTCCTCCCTTACGGCTGCGGGCTCTACGGGGGGTTCTTCCAAAGTCTCGGTCGGAGCTGCCGGTGCAGAGGCACGGCACTGATCGGATTCCACATCCAGGGCCCCATCTGGATCATCGATGTCATCATCGTCCCCTCGAGCTCTGAGAGCCCAGACTATGCTATCACCAACAGCCTCAACACATAAAGATTATCTCCAAATCGCAATTTAAGCAAACTCTATATACACAGCCCACAGAATCAATAAATGAGTTCTCTTCAGCAAAGCTTCACCCTGGAGAGTCTTGTAGGCCCGCTCGAACTCAGCAACCAATGCACGAATGGTTCTGTCCTGAAGCGAGGAATGCAAACCACCATAGAAATTGTCGACCCCCCAAACCATGTCAAGAAATACAAATTAACATTCTGGACACAATCAACCGAGATACACGGGGTGTCTGCTTCCTCATCCATTTGCGCTTCAAAAAGCTCAGCATGCGTTTCAAGCCCCAGCCGTCCGAATAAGCCACCACACCCAAGGAGGCGGCCTCCGGATATCCAGAGTTGCTGTGAAACTCCAATGCAGCCGCTTGAAACAGGTAGACTTTGGCCACAAAAATGCATCCGTTGTCACCCATAAGTTTGAGGACGATTTTCAACACTTCGTTATTCATCTTGAAGCACTCAATGTTGCCAATCACGACTTCCCGGTCTCCATGTCCGGGCTGCGAAACACTCCGCAACAGAGCTTGGCCGTTCAGGCTACGCTGTCGGAAGAATCGGTTGTTCTCCCAGAGGGGAGGCAGCTGTGCCACCCACTCGAAGTTCCGAGCTTGAAACGAGCTGCTCGCTGCAGCCATTGCAGTTCCTATCCTAAGGCAACACACCTTGGAAACCAAAACTTCTGCCCATACTGGAATGCAAACTGCCATGGATGCATGCAACCAACGATCCGCTTTCAAGGCTGAAGCCGACCCCCGATTGCAAAAAGGCGTGCCTGGCTCTTATTCCAGGGATTCCAGCTCGCCGCACCAGGAGCCGGAGCCCTGGGAAAGGAAGCGATCACCAGCAGCCTATAATACAACCGCAATCACAAAGGACACCTGCTGCGCATAAGCGACTGCTTGCCCTACCATACAGAAAACCCCACTCTCCATGATTCCTCCCTGAAAATTCACGGAAATCGCAACCCAAGCTGACCAGGCCTCATACGACCAAGAACATAAAAGTCGACGCCATCCAACCATTGTCCACCCTGCCATGTAGGACTGGTGCCCTTATGCTACAGGGGTTCGGAGGCCTCATACCCAATCTAGCCAGGAAGACCAGCAAGTACAGGGGCCATTGGCATCCAAAGTTTCGTGGATTTGCGCACAATCTTAAGAGTCTGTGCTGCCAACATCATGCAGGAGCCCCCATGACAATGTGAATGAAATGAGGAAATTCTATATCAGACGACTATATATCCTTCGGAATGTTTGATAGCCCTATGTTGCTGCAGCACGGGCTGCCCTCGGAGCCACCAGATCACAGCTTTGTCCTCAACAAACATTGTGTTGTAGATATTTCGGGGCTTTCAGGAGTTATCGAGGCTTCACCGCTTTTACCAGGAGTACATTCTTCTCGTACGATACCTATTTTGCGAAGCCTAAACACGCCTACGGTAGTTTACGCTCTTTCTGTCGGCAATATAGGATAATTACGCACCCTTTGGGTACGGCCAAAAAAAACACGTATCTTCGACGTTCCAGGTAACCCTTAGGTTAGCTTAGCGTTTGCGGTTACTAATAGGCGCACGAGGCTATTCTTAAGATAAGGCCTCGCGGCTGCCTAGTAGCCTGACCGGGGAGCCTTAGGGAAGGGTCGTCCCCCGCCCACGGGCGGCGCGTCGGGTAGCTCAAAGCTTCCCCGGTGCCGGCCAGCCTACTTTGGGCGGAGGCGACGGACACCCGGCGCGATGCGCTTCGTTCCCATCCAAAGGAAGGGAGCTCCGTCGTACTTCGCTTTAGCCCATTTTGGCCTACCTTTTTAAACGTCGGTAGGAAATGTCTTTGGTTTTGGTTGTATTGCATGCCAGCCACGCCCCCTACTGTACCGGCTTGGGCCTGAGCGTGGCAGAAGCACCCCCGAAGGACCCCCAAAGGCGAGAACCTAAACCCCTCGCAGACCGGCAATAATTACGGAATTTAGGGAGACACGACTCGGTCACCATTTTGCACCATTTCTCAAACCATGCAGAATGGTGCACAACCACGACTCGCCACAGTTTTGCGATTCTGGTTCAAATGCACTTATTAGTTCACCAGGTTTCCCAAATGTCGCCCCCTTGTTGTCCATACGACGTACTGTCCTCTTGGCGAGATTCGCAGAACAAGCAAAAGTCGTTTGCTCTTTTGTTCCCCTTGGGCCCAAGTCGTCACAATACCGCTTGGCTAGAAATATGTCACGTCTCTCTCTCGCGACTTGAAGGCTATGGCGATGCGCACCCATGTGTTGAGTGAGAAGTAGCTGCAGGCCCTCACCTGCCACGTGCTTGGCACGGCCCGCCACCACCCGCTAATGATTGCAGCTCAGGGACTCTAAGGGTGCATTCAGGAGGTCGCACATGCATCGTTTCTCCAAGACGATGCCAGGATCTACAGACAGTGCAAGCCGAAAGACTCCAATTAACGGTCAGGCAGAATACCAGCCACAAACCTCACGTCACCCCTCAGTTGCAGCTGCGGCGGGGCGGCAGTGGCGAGCTACCGTCATCTAGCACTTCAGAACCTTACTTATATAGGCCCAGTCGACGAACGAGGTCCTGAAAGGGTGCGCGGGCCATAGCGTCAGTGAACAGCTCGGCTACCTGTTTCTGGTGCTCGTGTACTTCAGCATCCGTTCAGCGAGTTAATTCAGCAGCACGCAGTTCTGAAAAGCATGGACGTGAGGATTCCGCCCACCCATCGATTCTCCAAGAGCCTAGCGTAGCAGTGCCAATCTTCTGGCCCGGTCCAGAAGGAAGCCTGTCAGGAACGGGAAGCTTGCTCCTGTTGGGGACTGGCTTACCGTTTGACGACGGATTCCCACAGGGCCAGGGCGCCCAGATGGCCGTAGTGCCACATCAAGGATGTAAGGAGTCATTCTCTGGTTGTTCTTCTAGACATCATTGTGACACATCATGTTTCAACAGGCAAGAAACAGGCCGTCAGTGAGATTCTTTGATGCAATCCGTTAATTAGGAATCCAGTGGGCGTTCGGCAAGGCTGCGGGACCGCCCGGCCGCCCGCTGGGTTCAGGACCACGAGTTTGCCAGGCTCCCGCCTCCCGCGCTGGAGAAGCGTTGAGGGATGCGGTCGCAGCTCGGCCATTGGCAGCTCGCCTCCTGGGCCAGTTCCTTCCAACTCACCTGCCAGAAGCCACGTGGTGCATCCAGGTTTCCATCCTGGTACTTCGAAAATCTCGTTGCATCGCATCTTGCATGAAGTGTTCCAAACGAGCTCCATCCCGTCTTGGTCGAAGCTGTTTTCATGTAGTCTGGCGGAACTATCAGAGGTCCCGCGAGCTTTCCGCAAACCACGTCTGCCCGCTCCTCTCTGTTCTGTACACAGATCCACACGATCGGCGTGACGACACTGGTGGCGGGATGCATTTCGTAAGGTATTTTCTCACCGCTTGGTCAACAGAAGTTGTAGCATTGAATCATTGACAATTGACTTTTGGAATACACTAACGGGCACGACTTCAACAGCATGAACATGTTGGCCACACGAATTTCGCCACCACCCGTTTCAAAGGCGATGTGTCTGTTCGAGGTAGCACAAAGCTGCCGTACCTCGCGCAATTCATGATTTTCATTTCCAGACCTTGAAGTATACCAGGGATAGCGCAAAGGCAGAGATGATCAAGGGAATTTCCCGCGCAGTCTGAATTTTGGGCCACGTGTTGGGTGGTTCAGATCTATGGCGACAAGGAGGGGCAGGTTCTCGATCTCTTCTTCAAAGTTCCTGCCTCAGACTCTCTCCTTGTACCGTCGAGCTTTGTTCCTGCACCTGAAAGGCTTTCATCTCGGCTGCAAATCGCAACGAAAGTGCTGCAGCTTCTGCGCTGGCTTCTGTCACCAACGCTTCGGCTTGACCTCGGGTTTGAACCACTTCTTGGTCGGTGTCTGGATGTATGTAAACCTGTCTCTGATCCACCTGTGTTCAAAAACTTGTAGATGTAATCCACGCTTCTTTGGTCATGCTGTTCAAGATGGTATGTCATGCTGTTCTGGATGTGATCACCCTGCCTGTAAAATGGCATGGTTGGTTGTTGGTGGGCTACCTCTCACTCTGACTGAAATAAACCCAAATCAAATCATTCCCCGAAGTTTCCATTGAGGTTTTTCGGATTTTGTCAGCCCTGCCACGTTTGATTTTCGGTTCCTTCTTGACTGCAACACAAGATGAAGAGCTAATTACCGGAGCTTGGTGTACCAGCCTTCCCATCGATGCATCACACGAACTACTCAAATCATGGTGACCTCTACCGCGTGCTTCGCCCGCCGCCCGAAACCTAGGCAAGAGGGCGCGACCTATTCCAGGCCTCAGGATTCTCATGAAGGATGTTGGCTACCTGCTTCCACCATGTACAGTGGGTGATGCCGTGGCAGATGTTGATGGTGCCCTTTTCGTAGGTAGCATCGAGCCATATCACATGCACGGTGGACATGGGGGGTTGATGCGCAGCCTCTCGAAACATTCCAATTATGGACTTTGCAAAGGCAAAAGCTCCAGTCTTTGCCGTGTCTTCGCATGTGTTGCACATCTCACACCCCACGAAATCACGAAGGCCAACATGCCTAGCGGGGGGTGGCATCTCATGGAGCAGTCCTAGCAGACCCGCAGCCATTTGTGGATAACCTGCGTGGTTGTAAACACACGTTCGCCGCGACTTGCTGGATTGTTGCTCTTGAATCAACGTCGTCACAGTCGCGTACCGGCGCTAGACAACGGCGATTACGCTCTTGGTTGCTCAGTTTTCAGTTTTCGTTGCTTGGGTTATAGATTTGGGCTATTGTTTTGTTTCGAGTTTAGTTTTTCGGTTTGGTTTTCTCCGATCAGGTGCAAGTCTGTGGGTGTTACAATTTATGGAATTTCTGAGAGGGCCGGTCCCAACCAAACTTCAGAATTGGGATGAATTGGGGGTGGCAACAGGAAAGCTGTGCATGAGACAAAGTCGATGAACCGGGCTTGGAGGCTTGCGTATGCTTGCGTCTTGCATCTCCGTGGATGTCGTGGCGTCTACAGTCTATACGTTGTTTCCGATCTTGCCGGAGCCGGCCGCCTCTTCCCACTCTCTCTGCTTTGACGTTGAGCCCGGCCGAGGCAAGGGATGACAATCCATTCTCGTGAGGAAAAGACTCGGAGCCTGCTGTGCCAGTGCGCCACGTAAGTAAGCGCCAAAAACACATGTCCCGCTCCTGCCGCGGTCATTTTGCAGTCATGCGCGGCTCGCATGCGCTATGCGAATGGCGCATGACATCCAAGCCGCAGTCAGCCGAGTCAGCCGAGTGTCAGAGCCTCTGCCTGGCAGCTTCAGCTCAGCTCCTTGGCAGCTTCAGCTCGGCAGGGACTCTGAGTCTCTCCTGCTGGGGTTCTTGGAGAGCGAGGAGGCGCAGCGCGGGCCTTCGCCTTCTCGGCGTAGTCACTGCGTCTGTGCCAGGTGTTGCGGTTGCCATCTGGGTGCCTCGGCCACAAGCGCCACACACCGTTGCCGCCGTTGTTCCAGTCCGCTTCTTTGCCATGGCCGCCAGGCTGGCCGCCAGGTTCACCAGGTGGGAAGCTGAACTCGTCGTGTCCTCAGACCTCAGTTAAGCGGACCGAGACTGTCGCACATCCGCTCATCAGGTGAGACTTCAGTCCTATGGCCATCGGCCATGTACTCAAGAGGTCCAGGCGCCGCGTCGCCCCGCAGAGCTGTCACCCAAAGGTTCTACTTGCTCTCGATCTCCTGGGATGCTTTGCTTCAAGGACGCGAAAGTGCCATGCGTTTTGATACAGTCTCTTCTCACAGCAAAATACATGATTGCACGGGCTGTCATAAACGGCTGCACTTCTGTGTTGTTTTGTGAGTGCTCATGGCTTCTGGCAGTGGACAGCCTGATGCGAAGATTTCTGTTTCGAGGCTTGGTGCTTTTGGTGCTTTTGGTATGGCGCATGGCAGGATTGGACCAGGAGGGCCTCAAGAGCACAGTGGACTGCTTGAAGCGACATGGACTTGAGCCGGTGGCAGCTCTGGCTCTGCCAGACGAGCTGAGCGAGAGCGAGGTCCAAGGGGGGGGGGGGGAAGCCTAAAGGAAAGCTTAAAGAAAAGCTCCCCCGCCCGCTGATGTGACTTTGCCTTCGGTCTGCGGTCATATCCGAACTCTTTTCTTAGGCCGCTCTTGCGGCTTCGCACCTGGAGACCATTCGCAGCTCCATCCGTCTCTGGGTCACGCCAAGTGCTCGGTCACTCTTGCTCGCAGCGCTTGTAGACCTTTCTGAGACGAGGCAGGTGAAGCTGCGGCATGCCGGCAGTGAGCAAGAGCCTTGGCTGCAATGGCTGCAGCGAAAGTACCGCAAGAGCTTTGCTCATGATGACGTCTGAGGAGCTGGGCCGACGCCGCAGATGGGGCAGTGAGAGAGACGGGATTCCTGACATCACGGCCACAACTGAGTGCTTCTTTCTCCGTGTGCAAAAAGTACTTCAAGGACATGCCCTTCTTGCACAAGAGCTCTTCCGAGAGCGAGGGGGCCTTGGCCCAGGCCGCGGTTCTGACGGCGAGCTGGGCATCATGATCAGTGCAGAGTGGATAGAGGCGGTTTCGGAGGCTTCTGAGGCCGCGACGGCGAAGAACCGGCAGGCTGCCGAGTGGATCCTGCAATCCCAGATCGGTTCCATCCTTTCACCCATCTTTGGAGAAGAAACGCCTCTCACGCCGGACCTCTGCCTTTGCCACTCCTCCGAGAAAGAAAATCTGAAGAAGACGAGCTTTCTGATGATCTCACACCACTTTGCCGGCCGCGTCCGTGTTTCGGAGAGTCAGACGGAGGTGCTGCACAGCAGTGCGTCGCCATCAACGCTCGCCAAGGTCCTTAGCTGGCTCTCTTGGCACGGCTATGTTCCGCCACGACAGGGTAGACTGGGCGGGCTGCATGCTGTCGAACCCGCTGGGGGCATCACCAATCAGACCGCGACGCCTCGAGTGCCGCATCGTGCATGTGAAAAGAGTGTGCCATTGAGAGGATACTGGACTGGCGAGGTGGAATCTCGTTCTCCTTGGCAGGTACGTGAAGAAGCATTGATTGCAAATTTTGCGAAAGCTGCTTTGTTTGCGCAGCCGAGTACGGAGATGGGGCAGCATGGGTGCTTTTCTTGGATGGATCCTGAAAGCGTTCTTGTTACACTCGACTTTCTGGATCTCTGCGTTTGCCTTGACAGTCGGCCTGATGCGCAGAAGCTGGTCTCTCAAATAAGTCTGGTTCCGTGTCACTCAGGGCACAAGGAGAAGGCCCGAAAGGATTCAAGTTGGCTCCGTGATGCAAGATGGAGCTCGCTGCTGGACCAAGTCATTGCAAAGAGCTCTCGACAATACGTCGAAAAAAACGCTGAGACCCAGAGCACCGAGAGCACCGTCTCCAGCATCTCCGAGTCGGCCGTCGACTTTTTCCTCCAGTTCCGGAGGCAGAAGCGAAGGGCGGAAGCGGCGGAGCCGGCGATCTCGAGGAGCCAACGGCGAAAGACTATCCCAAACTTCTCCCAACTCTGACTCTCCTGGGACTCTTTTGTCTTCTTTTCTGAGGATCGCTGCAAGCACTCCGGATCCGACCGAGACGATGGAAGCCACCCTCGAAGCAGTGCTCCAGCTTTGCAAGGCGGGGCAGGCCTGAGGCCTTCCCCTTTCCTTGGGCCCCGCCCAACTGCCAGGTTGGCGAAGAGCCGGGGCCGAGGCGCGGGGCGGCCACGGTTTCGTCGCGTTCTTTTAGATGGAAGCAACGTTGTAACTTTCGCAGCAGGCCCAGGTTTGAGAATTTCGTGGCCTCCGAGGTTGCCAGAGTCCGCGCAGCTCGGCGGATAGCAGAACCTGTTTTTCCCAGCGCGTTGACTTCAGTTCGCAGGCACTTGGGGAGGCCTTGCAGCGCCAGCCCAGGCCGCCAGCGCTGGAGGTGGGCCCTGCTGCAGGGTGCCTTGAGCCTGTGCGCCGGTCCCGGTTTGGGCCTTTGCAGAGCCCGGCGAGCCCGAGCCGCGCGACGAGCCAAGACGAAGGACTTCGGAGCCGAGAGAGCCTTGAGCCTTCGGCCTTCACTGCCTTCACTTCACCCTTCGCTCTCTTCTTCGGGTTTCCGCTTCCTGCACACCTGCACGCAGGAAGCGGCTTAAGCGGAAGTCGCAGCGCTGCTGATGGTGATCTGGAGCACGTGCGTGTTCAGGATGCGACGGCTCAGTGCGGCAGTATGAGGGTTAGGGCTGAGACTCGTGAAAGGCTTCCTTGGCTGCTTCCTGCTTCTGGAACACCCGGCCTGGCTTGTCTTGTAACGAAAATATTCACTTGAAAATGCCTGGCTCGAGACGAGGTGGGGCGCGCGGACGAAGAGAAGCTCTCTGTGTGAAGAAAGAGCTTGACCTTTCTCGAGAGTTTTGCCATGGGCGTGCATTTCCTCCCTACCTTGGCTCAAGAACTTGACTCATAAGCAGGCTAGAACTACAGCCATCCCATGCAGTCTCGAGATCGCAAGACACAGCGCTCTGAAGGTGCGGCTTAGGCTCGGTGAGGCGATACGTAGCAAATGGAGGACGAGCCACGACGATTCTTCGGTCCAAGCGTGCTACTGAGCAACGATTCGACTATTCACTGGGGCTGCGGCTGCGGCACTGACATCCAAGGCAAGGATGTCACTTTGGGAGAGGTGGGCGGCATCGTGCCACCGCGGATGGGGGAGCGCAAGCTTGTTATGGACGACTGTCCTCAGTCCAATTGAACCAGAGTTGGGAGGAGCCACTAAACAGCCTCGATGCAGAAGCACTGATGTCCGTGGCTGGGGCCTTGGCATTAGGTCGTGCCCACTCCAAACATGATGCCAATGCCCTCTCGATGCAGAGTTCTCTGCGGCACGAGCCGAAGTCGCTAGCACGCGATCGCAGGTTGAACCCGCAATCTGCCAAGTCTGCCAAGTAGACATGTGTAGTTCGCAGTTCTGGAGCATGGTGGGGTTGACGGCATTGCAAGCAGAGCCAGTGGATGCTGATCTTTGCAGAATAACGCGTCGAATCCGCTGTGCGGAGGGGTGTGCGAAAGACGTGGACAGGTTGGGCCCCCTGAACTTCCTGAAGCTTGGAAGCAGGGTTTCTTCTTTGCACAGAGCTGAGAGCCTCAGAGCTGTTGGCCCGCCATTGCTGCCATCAGCTGAGTCCCGTCAAGGCAGGCTACCAGCCCTATGGCTTGCAGCAGGTGAATGGAGGAGCTCAGCCGTAGCAGATGCTACGAATGCAGGGCCCTGCGTAGGGCCTGTAGGGTGGAGCCCTCGTGGAGTGGCTGTGCAGCTGTGCAGGGCCCTGCGGAGTTATTGCTGTCGTTCAGGCTTAGAGCCGAGGAGGGGAGGGTTTAGGGCGTTGCGGCATATGCCACCGCCAGCGAACATGAGTAGGGCGGCCGACTCAATTAAGGCCTTTCTGATTCGCTCCTTGCATTTCCGAGCTGCGAGCGCCGCCGCGCTGCTAGAGGCGTTGCCGCTGCATTTAGTGAGGACGTCTCTCTCTCTCTCTCTCTCTCTCTCTCTCTCTCTCGCTATCTGTGGCCTGTGCAGGTCGACGAGAGCCTTCGCATGGAAGCGCTGATGGATGCTATCGCGGAGGAAAAGGGCCTTCCCTCCTGACCATGGCTTCGTGCGCCTATCTTCGTCAGGTTCTTTTCAGAAACGTGGGTGACAACAAAAAGGCGAGAGACAGCACAAGAGAGAGCGAGAGAGTGTGCAAGTTCCAAAATCCGACGTGTCTACCAGGCTTGTGTTCTCGTGCCCAGCTCATCATCAGCTAGCATTCTCAACGTGCCAGGGACCTGCAAAAAACGAGGGAAGCGTTTCTGCCGGATGTGTGTAGTGGAGAAGGTCGCAGCTGCGGTGCTTGCAGCCTGCGCTGTTCACCTCCTACGACCAGCTGAGATACTTTCTCAGCCAAAGGCGGAGCCAAAGCCATTCCATGCAGCGACTCATCAGCCATACGTCGCTACCTCAGGCCATACAGAGACATTTTCTTCAACCCTTCTGGCTGTGGAGTTCCAATCCTTCTCTTCTCGATGGTCTGGAGCATCCAGCCGTGAAGGCCCGACTTCCCAATGCCAACCGCTCTGCCGAGAGGACTCGCACCGTGGAGGGCTGCCGGGAGCGGGATTTCGATGACCCGAAGACTGGGACCATGATCGGCGGCCACGGCTACTGCACGCAGGACACAACCGCGGCCACCCTCCGCAGCCCGCACGGCCCGCACTGCCAAAGAGGAGCTGGTGAACTTGATGATGTTCGGCCGTGCCTACAGCAATGTCTTCGATGGTACGAAGCGCCTTGGCAGTGCCAAGGACTTCAGGGCCCTGACAGCGCTGGTGACAGTCTGCGCTTTGCAATCTGCACTTCTCAAGCGTCGTCTTGCTGCAATGGCGAGTAGCCATAAAAACACTCGGTGAGTCTGCTGCAACAGCTTCCAAGTCCCGCAGGACGGCTGGATGGTGCTACAGGGCGCGCCGCTTGAAGCTTAGCCTGACACGTTTCAGCTGCGACTGGTGTGCAGTTGCGGTGGCATTGATTGACTGGACCACTTCGTGGTTTACCAGGTAGAGAAGCGTTACAACTTCACTTCCCAATCTTTGCAGTTGTCCGAAGATGAAATCAGCATCCCGACCTCGTACACTCGTACACAATCCCCTCGGTTCATGCCTGGCCGCCGAGCCTCGTCCGCAGTTCTCAAACTTCAAGCCGTCGTATTCTTGGCGAGTGAAAATGCACAGAAGCTGGCACCGCTGTGGCAGTAGATTTCAGTTGAGCATTGGCTGCGGCGCAGCAGCTGAACTCGTTGCTGTTTTGAGTGTTGCAGGCGTCGACCGAACATCGGCTTCCTGTCCCTTTTCGAGGCCTACGCGTGCATTGAGGCGAAGCCACTGGAAAGGGGGTGGGGCGCATTTTGTGCCGACTCGAGTCTCGAGGTTGGCTCGCGGTACAAAGGGCCCAGCAGCCCTATCTGGGTCGTTTGTGCCGAGGCCCGAGGCAAAAGCGCGACAGACTGTCGCGACGGCACGCACGTCGCTCTGCTCTGCCAGTCTCACTATACCGTGCTCTTCTCTGCTGATGGCGGCGTGAACCCGCAAGACACCGACAAGGCCACAGAGGGAGAGCAGAGCAGTCACTAGCAGACCCAGTAGACCAGAAAGGGCTATAGCTAGCAGGCGCTGGACCTCTTCTACTTTGACCAGCTGGGTCGGCAGTCGGAGCGTATCCGCCTGACAGCTCCGGGCCCGGAAAGCGCTCGGATGCGCTCGGAACATCAAACAGCCTAAATTAAGTTTAAAACGTCAAAAGGTCATCCCCAAGCAGCTGCCTGCACACCTCACGACTGGCTTCGAGGCATGTGGCGGCTGAGCGAGTTGATTAACGTGCCACCGTGCCGTGCCCATGTAAAGCAGGAAAGCGAGTCCATGATCGATCGGTGTATCCGCACGAAGTGGAAGGAAGCCTCGGAGTGCCCTTGTTTTTCGACAATCGACTGTTTTCTTTCCACGTCAGGAAGCTACCGTCGATTGGAACGGCAGTGAGATCATCCTGTAATGGCGGAAAGAAGCGCTTCGTGCACACACATCCGATGACCCTCGCCATGCCGACGTGAGTCCTCAGGGTCCAGTTAGAGACCCTCTGGATCTTCGGGATCTGAGCTCGGAGGCATAATGTCGTCCTCTTGTGTCCCTGGTTGGTCTTTCTTCGTCGTATTTCGTCGTCATTTCTGTGTCTGCAGCCATTCAGAAGGGGTCAGACATGTTGCACACATTGTGCCGATGGGCAGTGATCGCTGAAGGTGCCTTGGGTCGAGAAAGCATAGCGCACTGCCCGCGACGGAGGTATCGTATTGCATGGTAGCGGAGAATTGGGGACGACCAGTGCTCCTGAGTCTGCCGTCCTTACTTGCAGTGGATGTCGGTGGGTCCGGATGGAGTGGGATGATTGCCAAGCCTCATCCTGAGTCGTATGCTGGCCGGACAAGGTGTCCAGCGACAGGCTTGGCTGCTATGGCTTTTGCTTCTCCATACCAGTAAGCTTTATTCTCATCTCGCTCAAAGTATAGGTTGCAGCATAGCATCTCATGCTGGGACGAGCCAACGCTCGGATGTTCATGTTCCAACTTTGGCGGGCTGGTGTTGACACGAATCTGGATGAGAGGCGAGCTTTCTGCATCCACCCCAGGCTCGTTTGTTGCTTAGAAAACGTCGGCTGGTTGGGTAGGGTCCCCGCAGCTGGAGCCTTGGTTATCGTCGCTCGGCATCTGCACCGTGTGTGATGTCCGATGGTTCTTGATTCTTCCCTCACAGTCTAACAGGCTGGCTAAACGAGGCGGTTAGTAACCGACTCGTTTATCGAGGCGGTTGGGTCAAGGGGCTATTTTTAGGGTTGTCCAGAGGGGGGCTTGGAGAAGCTCAGTGGGACCACTGTTTTTTCCATTTGGGGAGTTCAGAGGCTACAGAAACAGCAGTGGGACCACACTGATTTAACACTTATCGGCTTGTAGGGTGGTTCACGGAAGGTACAGAAACAGTACTGGGACCCATGATTCTTGATGCAAAGGCACCTCACCAAGCTACAGAAACAGCTGTGAGACCATCGTTTCTCTCAATTCAGATGTACTTAGGTGGGCTTAGAAACAACAGAAAGCAGCAGTGGGACTACTGTTTTTCTGCATTCACGATTGTTGAAGAGGGCTCACACAAGCAACAGAAACAGCAGCGGGACCACTGTTTTTTTATTTCAGGGGTTGTGTGGGGTGGCTCGCGAAGCTGCAGAAACAGCACTGGGACCACTGTTTTCTCACTCAGGGTTGTTTTTAGGGGCTTCGAAGAAGCTACAGAAATAGCATGCTTTGTATTCAGGACTGTTCAAAGAAGCTACGAATTACAGCAGTGCGAGCACTGTTTTTTCAATTAGGGTTGCTTATTTGGGAAGTCTTCGAAGCTGCAGAAGCAGCAGTGGGACACCGTCTTTTTTTACACCCACGACTGCAACGATATCATGTAGCCGCAATGTAGCCGCCAGCGCCATAAACACCTAAGCTACTCCGAAATCACTCGTGTTTGTCAGTTCAGTTGCATGACAGAGGCATAGAATCAGCCATGGCACAGCCATCGAGTATCGTGAGCTTCACTCAACAGCCACAGCCTCGGGTGGAACCTAAAATCCCTGGACGGGAACCCTATTATTAGTATGGCGGAAAATAAACCGTGAGGGACCCTTATATATGTAAGTCTTATATAAAACAACCCTTGCAACACGACTAAACCCTCAAAGGAAACCTATGATTATTTATTACCTACCAGGATTCTAACAACCAAGCTTCTGAAAACAAACCTCGTGAGGGAGCGAGTCTCGGTACAGCTGCATATCTTCGAACCACGAATTATATTACGTATTCTAATATGGTTCTATGAAAATGCATTCCTAGCGAAGAAATGATGAAATGTGTCAGCCGGGGTTCATTCATTTGCAAATCCACATGACAGCAGATCATGATCACAGCCAGATCATCTGTTCCATCCTTGTCGCCGTTTTCGCCTGGGCTCTGGGAGATTGGATCCGAAATTTGATCGATCAGCAGGCTTTGTTCGATTTCTGGGTTTTGGGACAAATACAGCAAAGACATCTGTTAAGACAGCTGGGGATCGGCGTCAAGCGGCGCTTAGCCGCCATGAGCTTCAGCTGTGACACACGAATGATATGCCGATTGAATGGACCAGGCTTCCGTGGAGCCCGAAGACTGACTCCTGATGGAAACATGCTTTTTCTAGAGACATTCGATTTTGAGGGTTATATAAGGATTAAGGTGGAGTCCTGGTAATTAGGGTTTTAGAGGGTTTAAGGTTTTCGGTTTCCGGAACTGAAAAAAATTTCGAACCATACCGTGTAATCTCAGGTGCGCTTGAGCCATCCCATGGAGTCTTCTCCAGCAAAGCAGTGGCTGTATCGAGTATTGTAACCTCAGGGTCGGAATTACATACCCTCTAATTTTTAGGGTTCGTTAGGGTTTAGGCTTTAGGGGTTAGGGTTTAGGGCTTAGGGGTTAGGGTTTAGGGCTTAGGGTTTAAGGCTTAGGGTTTAGGGCTTAGGGTTTAAAGGCTTAGGGTTTAGGGCTTCGGGTTTAGGGTTCAGGGGTTAGGGTTTAGGGCTAATATGAATTCTCGAACTATGGGAGGGCAACAATCATGATGTGCTCTGACAAAGAGCGCCATTTGTGGCTTTGCTCCAGCAAATGAAGCATTGCCTCAGGATGAGAAGGATATCGACTCTTGTTGCCAGTCGCTGGGTCGATGTTAATATATACAGCCAAGTGGCATGAAATTTGGGTTTCAGAATCCAAGACACAATCTTTTGCCTCAGCTGATGATTTCGTCAAACTACATTTATTTAGGGATGATCCAATTATTATATTAATTGGGTTATACTAGGGCAATTATGAAGAATTTGGGAGAAACAAAAGAGGGTAGAGGAACTGAATATATCATGAAGCCAAGCAGCTGATGAGATAGCTGGGTGAGCTTGAGATGGCATTTCAGAAACACCATCCCATTTGCATAAGTCTCATCACTCTGGCGTGGTGTCCTGCAGTCGGGTCCAGGCCACATGTATGACAGACATTTAAAAGCTTGATATTGTATTATAATTTTAAGGTAAAAGCCAGAAAGTTGGAATATGAATATCCTAAGCCCCTTATGGTAAATTATAAGGTATCCTACCCTGAAACCATATTCCAACTTTCTGGCTTTTACCTTATAATCTTTAAAAGAGTCAGTAGCTAAGCCAAGCACATATAGGGGCCAAAATAGTGATGATTGCCATGGAAGCTGCAAGTACCTCTTCGCCGCTTCGGTTCCAGAGAACCAGTTTGCGAAGGCAGTCCTCAGCACCCCGGACCAAAACTTGAACTAATATTATCTACATATGATGCGGATCTGGAAATCTACATTCCTTTTCAGGGTTTGGGTAAATTATCGCAACAGAGCTGCAGTGCCGTGGCATGCAGCCTGATGCTCGGAGTTGCAGCTGCATTCTGCTGGACAATCTCTTGCAGTTTGGCCGACAACCATACCATCACCACGCGCGCATTATAAGCCTTCGTCGTTAAGTAGTACCCATGCGCCTTCTTCATCAAGTGGCGTGGCGTGAATGATTTTTGCGAGCAAGCAATCCTGTTGGCCCGGCGCCATTGTACAAATTCATTGTACGCACACTCCAGCAATGGTTTCAGACAGTCAGCATCAGGCCCATTGTAAGGCCCGAAGTGGCCCTCACGTAGCAAGACTTCCCTTGGATGCAGGCTAGGCATATTATAATATGAGACTGATCGTCAAATATTCAGAGTTGAAACCCAAAACACACTCAAAAGAGTTTACCATATTGAGACTTGACCCCACCACTCGCTGTGTGCACCAAGCCCAGATTACAGACGTGCATGCTGCAGAACTTCACCATGGAGATATCGAAGCCCGTCAGCAGCGTGAAAGGGCCTTTAGTTGGGCCGGTGTGGTTTGGGTTTGAGTTCCCCTCGAGGGTTCGGATCGGAATCAGTTTAAACTTGCAAGCTTTGCAACATATAATATAATAGCCAGGATACTCCTCGGTCCAGGGCGAAGGGCTTTTCGCAAGAAAGCAGCTGTATCCAGGTGTGTGGTTCGCCAGCCCGCACTGTCCTCTAGATCATAATATCTGTTTGGACCATCACTTGCTTCGCCATCACACAAGAAGCAGCACTTCTTTGAAGTCGGGGTCCGCAGCAGTCGCAGAGTGCGCTCATGCCACTTCCAGTCCCCCCGTAGCTCAGCACATACCCAGCGAGCGTCGCCTGAAAACTTTTGGCCTGCCTTCTTGGCTTTCAAACCAGTCAAAGCAGAGCCCCTTCTCGACACCGTTGGATATGAGCCGATGCACGCCTGATTGCAGCTCCAGACGATGTGCTCCAAGATGGGCGTCAGTGTTTTCAGCTGATCGTGCACCATCGTAGAGTCCTGGATAGCTGCAAGAAGCCAAATGCCCTGCCGAGCTTGCTTCGGCTTGAACAAAGTCAATTGAAGAAAAATCCCAGTGACCTTGTCCTTAGGATCCTTCCCCAATGTCAGCTCATCCCCATAAATGGTGAACGGAGTCATCTGCTGGAGATCACCTGGGAATTTCTTGGCGAAGTCATTCCCATTCTCACGCAGATGCTTCCAGAAGCCACTGACATGGGTCTTTGGGCATTCAAGCTTAAGCTCAGACTGCACGTAATCCAAAACCTCGTGTGGATCCAGCACCGGAATTGTCATTTGCACTTCCTTGCGGTCCCCTTCGAAACCCTCGTAGAGAGTGACTTCGACTTCTGAGGGTACCTTGGGTTATGGGCTTCTTGGGTTATGGGCTTCTTATTATTAAGTTCTGTGTTACTTATACTTGTAATTATTATTGGTATATATGGACCCAATAACCCTGCAAGGTCCCCGCTTTCAGTTCCGTGGAATAATAATAATTATGGGACATAGGCTTCTGCGATCAAAGCTAGGATTATGGAAACAATAGAATACTTGAAATAGGGTTTCAGGGACCAGGGTGAAATAATTTATAATAGGCCTGTGCCTCATGGGGTCAATTCGAAATATCTATATATAGGGATTAAAAAAGAAAGTAACCAAAATCATATCAAAACCCGAACATTAATCCTGATGTTTGCATCTGCAGCATAGCCACAAGAGGCAGCTTGACAATGTTGAAGTCACGAGATTCATTGCCAGGCTTGAATTGCATCAGCCGAGACATCTTTTTGCCCTTGAAGCAGCGGCCAGCCTCCTGCACGAATCAATCAAGGTAGATGCCACTATTATTAGACTATATTCGGGCCTAAATGCTAATAGCCTGTATATTCTGATCTGGTCAATAACCCCCCCGACCTTTTAGCTGGCACGAGCATTCACCAGCGCCGATCCCACAGTATCAGCCTCAGCCGAGGAATGATCTGCGTGCATATTCGACTGTGCTACAATCTACAGTGCCCTAGCTGCAGATTGATTGCATGGCAAGGCTCTCCATTGGATACTCGCTCCAATATATTCTGCAACAGCCCAGAGCCGAGATCACCATCATCATCAGTATCCCCTCCTGGCATTTGTCATGATGCGACATGTGACATTACCATAGGGTTATGCTGGGGCTCATGGCATGATCTGATGATCATGATGGCGATTCGAACACGGGCATTCTGCATCAACATGTTTTTCCGCACGATCGCACACTTTCGCGACTGGGTGTGGACATCGACACCCTTGATTGTAAAAGGCTTCGAGAGCACAGCACTCAACAGGGCCTAATGCACAGCACCCCTGCAATGTGTCTAAAACCCCACACACATGTACAGCTCAGCTCATGCCAGCAGAACTGCGGAGCTAGGTACTTTGCAAATAAATCACCTGCCGAACTAGAAGCACTGCTGGCAGCCGAGGTGTGGCGTGTGTGCTTCCACGGAAACACAGCTGCAGAAGCTGCTGCACAGTGCCCCCAGCTTCTAGATAGGCTCGGGTTTATAAGGGCTGGGGGTCGTAACATGTTTGATCGGAGGGATATATATATATATAGTGTGACATAAACATAGGGAGGCTATGAAGCTTCAGGGGTTCTGTGCATAGGGTTTGTCATCATAGCACGGCTTTGGGGATCGGTCGGGAGGTTTACTATTATACCCGAACATTTCCAGAGCCGGGTTTGTTGCAGGCACGTGCAGTCGTAAGCACATGACATGGACCAAGGTTATCCCTAGCCCATCTAAGCAAAATCCGACGCCCAAGACCCCAGCAAGGCAACAACAGCAGATCTAGAGATGCAACCCAGGTCGATAGTGTAGGTTATACTTAAAAGAATACAGTACGTAGATGCAGAATACATGCTGAGTATTCGGAATGCTGGCCCAGGCAGCTCTCATTTATGCTAGTGCGATACATGATGAAACACAGTGCAAGTTTCTCGGGGTGGTAGAGCACCATAATAGCCAGCATCCTTTCACTTTGTTTTACCGCCTTTGGGGGCTTTGGGGCCTTTGCTGCGATTCGTGAAATCTTTGTGGATGGTCTCGAACTTGGCCGTCTCAGCAGTCAATCTGGTAGTAGCATCAGCCATCGCTTCAACCTGGATGAGGGTCGGGGTGCATGAGTATTAAATACAAGGGTACTATATCTAATGATCATGATTATTATTGCTATAACTAGTTATCATTGGAATATATCATCTAGGAGCTACAATTTAGAATCAAGACTCGGGGCTTTTTTGCTTCTTTGAGCTGGGCAGTTAATGATGGTCCGGGGCTACAATGTATTTGTAATTCTAATTGAAATGTAAATTAGGGGATGATGAATGATCAGCGTTTTTGTGGGTTTGAAGCAAGTGCAGCTTTCGGTGGGGCTGGGAGTGGTGTTAATACTTATAATTAAGGAATACACACACAGCTAGTCTGTATTCTTGTATCATATGAAAAACTAAGAGCCCCGCAACCAGTAAACCCCCACAGCCTGAAGACCCATAGGATGTTCCAATGCTAAATTATATCCCCAGCAAGATCACACTCCCCCGTGATCATTCGAGCTAGAATCGAAATGGGAGCAATAAACGAAGTTCTTCTAGCATGTTGCAAACAATCCTCATAGCCTCAAGCTAAAGCTAATAATCTAATTCCCGAACAAGATCATAAGACTTTCGATTCAAGATCCCACATGAAACTGAATTCGAAGACGACTACTCCCTCAGCCCCATAGCCCCAAAACCTAAACCCTAGACCCCCAGCCCTAAACCTTAATTCCCTTATTATAAAACTTTTAGACCTAACCCCTATATTACCCTCAGCCATAAACCCTAAGCCCCAAAAGCTAAACCCTATACCCTCAGCCCCAAACCTTAAGCCCCAAAACCTAAGCCCTCGACCGTATAAGGTATTATCCCGAGCCTGGCCTGATCATGATCCACAGCTGATTGAAGCTCGGCGCGTGCATCCTGAAGAATCTTTGCCTGAGCTTAAACATGCCACGGTTTAGAGTTTAGGGGTTTAGGGCTTAAGGGGTTTAGGGGTTTAGGGTTCAATTCGGGTTTCCCCTAGATCTCGAGGCTTTAAGTGCGGGTTTATGTCCATGGTATATTGAAATATACCAAGATAGGCCTGGGCTTCAACATCTTTCTTCATCGCTTCCAGAAGATGGTCGCCCCTGAGTGTGGCATAGCACATTTTATGTATAAGGATTGAAAGAAATTTCAGTCAGTTTGATTTCAGCAGGTAATAATAAGATTCCCACATGCCATCGACGGCTTGCTCCTGCTTCACTTTGCTTGCCGCCTTCACTCTTTCACTGGCTTTCTTCAGGGCCTGCATCAAAGATTCTAGAACCCGAACCCCTAAACCTCAATTCCGAGTATGAGTGCCGAAACCTCAATTCCCAAGGGAATCCCTTATATTAGGATTTATACCCTCAACCCCAAGCCCCTAATAATTATAAGGATTCCCCAATCCCCAGAAACCGAAACCCAATAACAGCTATATTAGCATTATAATATATCTATATATACAGGATCCAGAATAATCAGAAACTTTATATATATATATATATAGTTGGCCTTGCTCGCATTCGCCTTCACCTCTTGCTCCTCCTCTGGGCTGAGCTCCTGTGTCAGGGATCATAGGCACAAGCAAATCACCCAATCTAGCCCCTAGATATAAGTTCCGTTCAATGTTGTAACCTCCAGCTAAACCCTATGTAACTCCCAACTGCAGCTCCCTACCTTGGCACCGGCTTTGGCTTTCTTTTGCTTGTTTTTCCCCTTACCTTCACCTTTGCTGGGCTTCTTCGGGCTTGGGCTCGACGAGTGCTTTTTGGTTTTCTTGCTTTTCTTGGCTTTCTTTTTGCTTTTCTTCTTCTTCTTGCTGGAAGAGCTCGAGCTCGACGAGGCCTCAGCTTTAGCCTCCAGCACCATCTCCAGCTCGGTGTGGTCAACATCCTCGGCACTATCCTCGAAAAGGCAGAGGTATTGCTTCACTTCTCGCTTTGGGCATTCCGGCCAATTGCGAATCTCCGTCATTCTCTTTTCCTCGCATGACATTTTCGCTTCGATCATGTCATCGGCCATCTCCTCGCCCCACTTCTCAACCATTTCTTTCCGCAACATCCACTTCCTGAAGCCTCGAGCTGTCGCGCTCTTTTTGCTCCGCAAACGAGACAGGAGGGAACTCTTCTGCCAGTTCTCACCCGAACTGAGCCATGACTCGAACAGGTAGGAGCGCATGCCAGCATCGTCGCTGGCTTTCTTGGACAACTTGCTGATTTCGCGCGGGCACATTGCACCTTAGCTTTTCTAACCCATGAACATTATATTCGAGTACTACAGCTATAGCTATTATTACTAGCTAGAAACGATTGTCGAAGTATATAACATAAATAATTGTAGCCATCAAGAAACTTTCGAAACTGCGGTAGTAGCGCATGTTGCGAGCATGTAGCCGTTCTCGCCTCTCCTCTTTTGTTTCATCCTTGCGTTTTCCTTCCTTCTCCTCCTTACCTTCACCCTGCTCTTTGTTCTCTGCATCACCTGTCCTTGGCTTTTCAGCCTGACCATCTGCAGCACCTTGCTTCGACTTGTCGATTTGCTGAACAATTTGCTTCAAGTCCTCAGTGCTGAGCTGGTCGATGGTGTGCCCCCTTTGTAGTAGTGCTTGCACTCGATCAGCAGCACTCTTTGCTGATTCATCCTTAGGTACAGCAGCATCATCATCAGTACTCCGTGGCTTCTTCCATTTGTCATCATCACCAGAGCTAGGCCAGCTAGACCACGATGAGTCATCCCGGCCCCAAGACCAGGACGACCACTGATCATCCCAACCCGAGCTCCACCAGTCCTCACCGGTCCATGGCCTCGCCCAGGAAGCATCAGACCACGTCGAGCTGCCTGGAGATGCCCAGCTCTGGTCCGACAGTGCCTGATGGGGCTTGGAATTAATTTTAATATCAGGATCTTACAATAACTTCAGGGTATACTTTGTATAATAGCTTATAGGGAGTTTAGGGGTTTGGGGGTTTAGGGGTTAATTAGGGTTGAGCCAATTCAGGGTCCGTGGGGTCGCGGGTTTCTTGGTCGTATCATTAAAGTAGTTATTATATGTTTTCGGATGATGTTCCTGGCAACTTCTGGGATTGGTATAGTTCTGCAACATGTGTGGTCCCAAGTTGATCTCATGATTGCATGAACCCCTGGATAGGGTATAGCTAAGAGATCTCTCTCTCTCTCTCTCTCTCTCTCTCTCTCTCTCTCTCTCTCTCTCTCTCTCTCTCTCTCTCTCTCTCTCTCTCTCTCTCTCTCTCTCTCTCTCTCTCTCTCTCTCTCTCTCTCTCTCTCTCTCTCTCTCTCTCTCTCTCTCTCTCTCTCTGTCTCTCATTTGATATTTTCGAACTATAGTTCGAAAATATCCAATGAGAGACAGAGAGAGAGATCACTTATATAGGCATTTCGGATGATTTTAAAACTTCAGCATGACATACAGGAAAGGCTCAGGGCTTCATTTGATGCACACACACACAAAACAGATTTAAACATTTGATGGTGATAGTGACTGTCGGACAACAACATTAAAAAGTTATCACATAGCTTTTAGAGGCTAGGACCTGAATTAAATAGTATATAAGATATAAGCACCATACCCAGCCCCCTAAACAACTTTAAAACCCGATACTATGCAAGCAATATATATGGGACCCTGAAGCCCAGCAGTACAACGATCCCTGAGATTCCACCATCGAAGGCCCATAAAAAATTAAGTACAAAATTAGAGGCCACGGATAATACAACAGCCAAGGCACTGTGCTGCTCTCTGGGCTCGTCTCGACCTGGTGCAGCTGCTGGCATCCAGACTACAATCATAATTTCAGGGTGTGGTGGATATAGCTATGTGCGTATTCAATTATTATATGATAAATATCTATAATAAACCCTGTATATGGTCTGATCTAGACCTACCTACTTATGTTTATTATCATTCAGAAATAGAATTAGAGCATCTGGCCTTCGAAGGCGACTTCGGTGTGCGGCTGTGGCGGCGTTTTCCAATACTGCGGGGGTTGAACTCGGTGTACTGGTCCTAGGCTTCTTCGCACTCTGCTGGTCCTCTGCCTCTTTCTCGGTGGACTTTTCTGGACTTGGCCTTTTGCTGCAGTCTGTCTTGGGCGTCTTGGTTGCGGACTTTTTTGGACTTGGCTTCTTGCTGCGGTCTGTCTTGGGTGTCGTGGTTCGGTTCGAAGCTTCTGCGGGCTCTTGTGGACTTGGCCTCTTGCTGCGGTCTGTCGTGGGTGTCGAGGTTCGATCCGAAGCTTCTGTGGGCTTTTCTGGACTTGGCCTCTTGCTGCGGTCTGTCTTGGGTGTCGCGGTTCGATTCGAAGCTTCTGTGGGCTTTTGCGGACTTGGCCTCTTGCTGCGGTCTGTCTTGGGTGTCTTGGTTTGTGGCTTTTCTGGAGTTGGCACACTGTCTGGTTTCTTGGCCGTCTTTTCATTAACTTCTGCGGCCACGGGCTTGTCAGGCTTGTTGTCAGTCTTCGGGGTCTCGCTTGTCAAGCCTGCTGCTGCTGTTGCTGGGGCATTGCTGCTGCTGGAGCCTGCTGCGGAGGTCTTTTCGGGGCTCAGTGTTTTGCTCCGCTGCTTCAGCGGTGTCTTGTCCTGCTTTGCTGGGCTCTCACTTCTGCTCCTGCTGTCCGGGGGGTTCGGCACTGCAACGGCTTGCGGTTTGCTTGCTGACGACGGGGTCTTGCCTCGCAACCTTTTACGCTTTGCTGACTTGCGGTTGCTGCTGTGTGCATGCGGCGGGGTTGTGCGATCCTGGCTTCGGCCTCGTGTTGCTTTGGAGTTCGGGGTCCTTGCCTGTTCCTCCTCCTCAGCTGCTGGAGCCGCAGCATCCTTCAACCCGGGCGCAGGGCTTTTGTGCTCCACCCTGCATGCACGTGCCGGTGTCTTCATCTCCTTCTTGACTGCTGCTGGCTTTGCCTCGCTGGCCGCAGGAGCCGCATCTTTCGGAGCTGCTTCTTCAAAGGCAGTTCCTGTCGTCGAGATCACTAATAAATATAATTATGTTGTTTTATTTCTACGTAATACTAGATCTTATATATATAACTTGCAAAACCCAAACCTTGTAATATATTCTTTAGAAAGTAATTTGTATCTCCTTTCAGGGCTCTCTTTCGCAATTCTTCAGCGGCAGCCAAAGCTTGCTCGATCGATATTCCATTGCTAGGCATGTTTGCAGATTATATCACTCTGGGACATAATATAATCAGAAGGGTGTGGACGGAGCTATCGTGAGATCAGGACACCTGATCATGATGATTCGGAGACTAGCAGCACCACCCCAAAGTTCCCCAAATCCTCGCATCTACAAATGCTGCAGCGGGATGACAATCAGCTTTCCAGGCAAAGATTCCTGCATGCTCTGTCACACAGCTAGAGTCACGCTAGAATCACGCGGGAGTCACGCTAGAGTCACGCTGAGGCTGTACTACTGCTTTACTAACTATAGGCACAGTCACGCAAGAGTCACGCTAAAGTCACGCTAAAGTCACGCTTCCTGGGCCCTGGCTCAACCCTCCTATATTTATTGTAAAATGATCGATTTGTATGGATTCAAACAATCGGTTTGGTATTCCCTACTGTCCACCCTGACCAACATAGGAGGGTATTATCCCAGGCGGCGCATTCAAATTAGAGTTCCAGGGTCATGCCTCGGACACTACGTAGAGTGCGGGGCCCGAAAAGTTGGAACACTCCCCCTGGGACCCTAGCCAGAGCATATTTCGAACTATAGCTAAAAGTATAATACGACTGAGCCCTGCACTCTTCACGGCTACAGCCTAGAGCTAATAGCTAATTAATATGGTCTATATCGGCCCAGAGCTTGCTCCGCTCGGAGGAAATCTGCTATCTCATCGAGAGCCGCGTGCTGCCAAGCCAGTGGTGGTGTGGCCTGCATAGACATTAGTTGTGATTGACATTCATTATTATTAGAGTTATTTCTTATAATGATAAATATAGTATACTTACATCTTATATCCCATGTATAATTGAAATTCTATATATTATAGTTAGTTATTATTGATAAATTTGCTCTACTTACATTTTATATCCCATGTACTTGCAGTGAAAGGTTGTCTTCAACTGCATGGCCACACGGATACTTGCACATCAGCTGTGTTCGGTATAATGTAGCACATCACATTCTTACAGCTGGGTGGCAATATTGCTGCAACAATTGTAGCAATCCTAGGGTGCTTCGGGGGTTCACTGTCTAGAGTACTTAGAATAAATCAGAGAGACAGAGAGAAAGAGGGAGAGAGTATGCAAGTAATATTGTGTGTGTGTCAGTGTTCAATGCATGATCACCCTATGTGATGCTGATCGAAGCTATAAACCTCCTCATGAAACTCAGTGAGAGTATTATCCCTGCTACTCCCCAGCCTTCCCCTGCTGCAAGAGCAGTCGTGGCCCAGAGTCCAGCTTCTTGTGAATGATCTCGGAATTCTGCTCCTTGGCAGAAAATCTACGTAAGACTATCGGTGTCATAGAAATGTGTCAGAGGCATATTATAATATGCCTCTGACACATTTCTATGACACCGATAGTATTATTAGTTGTTGGGGTCGGTTGCTGGGCCGGGTATTTAATGTAAGTCTCGCGATATCAGTATGCACATAATATATAACTACGTCCTGTATACTATATATTCATAAATGCCATATATATGCTATTGAATTATAATTCAACCAATATATATATATATATATATATATATATATAGTATTTTTTTTATTGGGCTGGGCGTCAACATTCAAAATATGTTCGACTGTGGTAGCAACCTGCATTTTTAATTGATTCAGGCAAGACTCGACGGACTTCACATGTAGCCGCAATATTGTCTTGCAAAACTTCCGCGGATACTCCTGGGTCTTCTTCAGTAGCCTGCTTCCAGTCCTGGGCTGGCATGTGCATACTTCTAATAATTTATAGTGCGTACTAGTGTAGGCTCGGAGTTTTCTGGGATGCTTAGTATAGATAGTCGAAGCCAAGCATCACAGCTACTTTCCCTTCTTCTAATTTATAGTGGTATAGTAGGCTCGGAGTTTTCTGGGATGACTAGTATATAGATAGTCGAAGCCAAGCATCACAGCTACTTTCCCACGTCTTGCTTTACGAGTGACGACCCCATCTGAGGAGAGTTTCAACTTCTCCCGACGTGATCGGGAGAGTTTCTTGGCCAGGCGTCCAATAAAGGGCCTTCGTTGGGCATGCTGGAATCAGAGAATGGCAAACTATAATGGCTTGCATCCTCGACTCATCGACTGCACATTCATGAGGCATCGACAGGTTGCTGTAGGCTCGAGAGCCCTTGCAACTGAAGTGACCGTAGTTGCCCATCCAACTTAGCCAGACACGAAAAGTGTGTTGCAACTCATACATACTTTATCACATGTGTGCATTGTACATACAACATGGACGACAGAGGCCTCGACAAGAAAACATTGCGCACTGGCAACATTCCAGAGATCATCTCAAACACGTGTTGCACATACGGCAGCATCGTCAGCTTCGACGAGAAAGGTTGCTCGATCATGAAGAAGGCCCGTCTAGCTGTCAGCAGCAATACCAACAGGCACACCCGCGCTGCAATCCTTAGATAATTTTTAGTATTTACTACAAATGGTCGGAATGAAATGACATGTAGCCCCTAGCTGACCAACTTAACCTCACCTGGGTACTTTCATCCAAGCAACTTGTTTCCCGTGGAAACATGTGGCAACTCTTCATTCCCGAAGGGGCTAGTCTCTGATCGTTTCGCAACTGATGAGTTGATCCATACAAATGACCCACAGGGGACACCGATAGTTGCCAGGGCCAAGGGCTTCAGCTTCAGGATACATCGAACAGCTGAGATAAAACCAATCCTTAGCGGTTGAGGCCAAGAGATTCTTGGCAACATTATAATGTTATCTGCAGCCGGTAACTTGCATCCAAGGAGCGGCGTGCAGATATCATCATCTGGGCGATGCTGCATATCCATGTAGTCACTTGGATGCAAGACCAGCCAAGCTTCAAAAGCACAAAAGAAGTTGAGGCTGCATCCACCCCCATACAAACACATCTATATATCTGCACTCGCAAATGCAAGCATATGCAGATGAGAAGCCTTCTCATGCCCCGACGACCTGAGTCAGATGTACAGTATGAATAATATCCTGGGCAAGACAGATCTAATACTGCTACCGAGGCACAATATGCTCTTTGCATACCTCTCTCCCCAGCAAACATGTCATAGTGCATCAGGTCCTGGGCAGCCGCAGTGGGGCAAACTAGATCCGGATGTATATAGCCTGAATTCAGAAACAAACATGTAAGGTTGTGACCCGAAAGCTCATGGATGGTGGAGAATTCTGGGCCACATAGTCTGCCGTCTGGATCCTTGTCTAGCTAGCAGCATAGGCAAACAGAAGACAACAAATATCAACTGCAACATAGGCTGACCTCATCATGCTCAGCTGAGCTACAGAACTGCTGGTGCCCCCATCATGACAAGGAGGGTGGCTGCCGACACCGACAGCGACAATGGGCTTCTTCGCGCAAACTGATCCATGGTTTGTGCTGAAAGGTTTCTCTGTCAAGTTCTTATTATGTTGCCAGGGGGCATGATTATGTTGAGACTAGATTCTGGGATTATAAACCCCAGACCCTATTGTAAACCCTAATTAGGGTTTACAATAGGGTTTGGGGTTTATGGGTAAAGACCATACAGACGTGGATAGTGTGATCATGAGCAGGGTATAATGTAAAAAAACCATAAACATATCTTATAAATGTAATCACCAACCCCAATTACGTACATCACTCTCCAGCCCACCAACGGAACACACATGATTGCCATGTTGCATTCAGGCTGCATGCTGTCTGACCTCGCCACTCCTAAATTTATAATAATGCACACAGCAGAGATCAGAGCACTTTTTCGGAATTCTCGTTGGGAAGTCAACAAGATCCGATCCCAATCCGAATTTGGCGCACAGCAAGCGATTTGGAAAAGCTGCCCACAAGAATGCCCAACAGCAAGTATCTACAGCTATTTTTATTACATACAATACAAGGGCTAATCCATCACCCTGCACATCCTGCTGTACACCAGCACATCCAAGGCACACGTGGCGAATCTGTCCTGGCCTAGCTATGCCAGTACGGCTTCATCCAACCCGCCGCTTTCTTCGCAAGCCTGAACCTTGGAACAGACTATGTTATTATCATGATTCATGATTGTGATAATGTTTAAATTTAAACCAGTCATGTAAATAACCACCTATAATGATTGAGACCATCGCCCTCACCATCATTGGGCCATTGCATGTGCACTCATCAGTTGGTACATTGCTGGAGCTAGACTTCGGCTTAAGACACAAAACCTCACCACTAATAAGAGTCGGCCGGTTTATTATGCATTATTATTATGATATGGGTATAGGATATTCTGAGTGAAAACCCATAGTATAACATAATGTTGCAAACATCACCCGCATATGTCTTATATTGCAGCTGGAGCACTTGGCCTGGAGATCAGCCAAATTTCCTTTGTTCCAGGAGACATTCACCCCGTCGCTGTTGTTAGCCTCCAGCAGACATGATTAATTTGGGTTTTGGGCTTAGATTCATAATATGGGCTTGGGTAGATACAGCGTATACAGGGGATTGCGGATGCAGGCCTTCAGCTGGTGTTCCGCAGGGCTGTGCAGGTTGATGGCGTCGAGCCGAGCTTTTGGAACCGGTTTCACATAAAAGCGACCAGACAGCCTTAGCTGAAACGACTTCACTTGCATCTCAAACGACTATACAGCAGGGATCAACGTACAATCGGATGTGCATCCCAACAGCAGCGCCCCGATGGAGGTCGAACCAGCAGGACCCTCCTGCTCCTTCACCTTCGGGGAAGGATTGATCGTGAAGGACCTTGGCCAGCAAGTGGTTCATTAAGCAAGTTCTCGTGATTGGCCACACCGAGCACAAACCTTATGAGCAAAGTCTCGCAATGTCTTTGAAGTCTGTCGGCAGCACCATGGCATTGTCCAATACCCGCAACTGCCGGAGGTCCTTGATAATGGAGTCTTTCTTGGCCTGTCCATGATATATCGACAAAGATCAGATTAATTCCATACACGACCTAGAATTTAACCGAAGTACAAGCAGCTAGACACGAATTGTCGCAATATAGTGAGATCGGGATCCCTGCCTCCAGCTGCTGTCTTGACTTAGACATTGGGTTGGTGTCGTCAAACTTCTTGGCCTTCTTCTTTGGCTTTGCGAGCTTCGGGGTCCACCCAGTTGGCTGATGAGGTCGAACCAACATTCCTGCTGGCTCCTGTGCAAGATGCAGAAAAACACCTTTGTAAATAGCATATAATATATTAGCTCTCGTAATTATCAATGAAAATTACGAGAGCTAATAAATGCTATTTAGAAAGGTGTATTTCTGCATAGCTCTCCTAGGGACTATTGTCAGTATCTATATTTTGATATATATATATATATAGACATATACTCAAATCACGACAATCACACATGTGTTCAAAGCAGAAACATGGTGGGTCACAATCACACATATGTTCAAAGCAGAAACATGGTGGGTCCTCATCAGCCTTGCACTCATCATCAGCAGCCTCCTCATGTTTTTCCTTCTCCTTCGCTGGGGTCCTTGCCACATCCTGCTCGGCCTTCCTAAGGCCCTTCTTTCTGATTTTTCTCTTCAACTTCTTCTTCGCTCTGCCCACAGCAGAAGCCCCATTGGCTTCCTCCATGCCATTCGACACGGATGGCTCCTGCACAGAATTGCAACTGCTAGAGAGGATTTCATGGTCTTTGACAAAAAATCAGACAATATGTCAACCGCACAGCCTCCCCCGGCGCATCATCTCCCAAGCATGCTTCGAAGTCCAGCCGGCGCTTCGCACCTTTGAGATCTACCTCGTCAGCGGCATCATCCTCCTTCCCACACACTGGTGCATCATGCTCTGCCGCGGCTGCTGCTTGCTTTTTTTTCTTCTTTCCTTTCTTCTTGTTTGCTGCCGTCTGCTTCCCCTGCTGGGCATCTTCATCGTCTTCCTGTCGGAGCTGGTTCTTGATTGCGTACTCTTCGCGATCTAGCTCTTCAGCCTCAGACAAAACATCTTCCTTGTTTTCTTTAACCTCGGGTACCGCTTTGCTCTTTGCTCTTGCTTTGGCTTTGCTCTTGGCCTTAGGCTTGCTTTTGGTGGGCTTCGCCTCCTTTTCCTCCTCCTCCTCTCCTGTTCCATCGTTACCCTCCCGTACATCTTTGCGAAGCTTCCGTTGAGCCTTCACATGTGGTGAGAAATACAGAAATCCAAGCAGCGAAAAAAACACACTTGTGTGCAATTCATGAATGCAAAGTCCCACCTGCAGAAGATTGGCATCCAAGGGGCCTGTCTTCGCTTCGAGATCATGGATCAATCGATCGGCTTCGGCCTGCAAGGCATCTGCTGTCGTCGACCACACTGGCCATGGTATCGCCGTCAGCGGCAGCCTCCCATCATCCTGCAACAAGAAATTTCCGTTCTCTCTGTCCCTGGCTCTCTCTGGCTCTCTATCTCTCTCTCTCTCTCTCTCTCTCTCTCTCTCTCTCTCTCTCTCTCTCTCTCTCTCTCACTCGCACTCTCACTCTCCACAACTGAGCCCACTATTTATCTACCATTATATACATATATATATATATATATGTATATCTCTTACATACATATATATATATATAAACATATCTATATACACATATACATATATACATACATACATATACATGAGACACATATATACCCAGACCAAGAGAATAAGGCGCCTTGTAATTTTCTGGAGATGCATCTATCTCGATCTCCTCACCCTCTTGCGGAAAGATCGGCTGGCTGAACACATCTGGGCTGCCCCTTCGAACTGCCTGTCCATGGGCACACAATAAATTGGCTCACATGTATTCAAGACCATGGGAGATTATCTTATTCCCAGCCTCTGGATCCGGACTTTTGATTGGGGTCTTTTGCTTCTTCCTCTTTTTGGCAGAGCTCTTTGCCACGGGGGAGGCCTGCCAATATAATCAAATGAAGAAGATGGCTGCAGCCATGAACACAGCCTCTGGATCCGGACTTTTGATTGGGGTCTTTGGCTTCTTCCTCTCTTGGGCTGCTGCTGTCTTTTCCACTGGGGAGGCCTGCCAGTTTGCAATGAAATGAAGAATGATGGCTGCAGGCATGAACACAGCCGCTGGATCCGGACTTTTGATGGGGGTCTTTGGCTTCTTCGTCTTTTCGGCTGCTGTCTTTGACACCGGGGAGGCAGCTGATACCTGCCAGATGCAGATCAAAACTAATTATATCAAGCTGCTAGTTGTAAGCCTACACATGTGGTCCGAATAAGCAGCCTCTGGAACACTTGTCTTCGGGGTCTGCTTCAACCACCAGCCCTCAACAAAGGCAGGTGCAACGAGGCTGCAAATTCATGGCAAGGAATCTGCCTGCTCATCCTCTTCATTCTGGCTCATCTCCTGCGAGCAGGACCATGTGTTCGATATCAGCACAGATCATGACGAATCTCGGCATGCAATACACAAGGGAGCTACAATATGTTCTGAGCCTCCTCCATTTCCTCAATCTTCTGCTCGTTCTTCGAAAGTGTGGCACAGTCCTTATCATTATTAATATATTCTAGAAATACATAATATTATTATTGTATTATTATTATTATATTGTTATTATATACATCTCGTACAGTACACACGTGATCCCCCTGACTGTAACAGAACTTAAGCTGCGCTTGCCTTCTTCGCAGATAGGGACCTGCGCTTCCTCTTTTTTTTGAAGATGATCTTGCCGGGGATGGTGTTGGAGACTTTGCTGGCCGTGGAACCTGAGTTATTGTACATGTCATGCACAGCACAGGCATAGAATTAATAATTCAACCTGGCAGCATCTTCTGCACCCAAATACTCGGAGCTGCTAAACTCAGAGCTGCGAAGCGGAGCAGCCTGGCAATAAATTATGAAATACACGTGTGTGCAGTTTTGTTATATCCCAAGTACATAGTACCTGCCTTCCGAAGCGCTGGCACTTTCATCGACTCATGATCAGGAGTTTCGGCCACCTTACATATATTCCCAGTCATCACAGGTGTATGTGATTGCTAGCACAGGCTATGCTCACGACCGGTCCAGGCAGCTCTGCTGCCACCACAATTTCTTGCGTATCAGTCATCGCCTGAGTATGCACACATGAGTTGAAAAGCACCACACAGACACACACACACACACACACATGCGCACAGACCGAAACCAATAAGTGCTTCCTAGTGGCCACGGCACCACTAGCCTGTGTGTCCTCCTCGTCCTGGTATATTATTTTAACGGAAGGGTTTAGGGTTTAGGGTGCGGTATGTCAAGAAAAAGAACTGTACTTCTTATATTTAGACCTTGGGCCCAACTTGCCGACATACAATACCAAAGCCCGTGCTGAAAAGGGTACAGTATATATCTATATTTCTATCTAGAATTCCCAGCCTCTGAGATCTCGATTTCCTGCAGGGGATTCATGTGGGGCTCGACCAGAATAACATCGTCATCATCAGTAGGTCCTGAGAAATTCAAACCAAAGCCAGGCCACAGAACCATTTCCCGCTGCTCACAAGCCAAGCTGCCCTGCACGACCTGAGTCTCATCGGTATCCAAGGCATAGCTGTCCGCGGCAAGCGAGGAGCTTTTTGGCGATGCTTGGCCCTGATCATTAAAAGAGTGGGCTCATGTACATGAGCATGAATACATGCTAGCTTCAGCTATGGCTCTCGGGTAGGTCGCACAATCTCCTTGAGCATGAGCATCTTTTTTTTTTAACGTCTTCCCATTGAGCGCCCTCGAAAGAACCGCCCAACGCCTATGTCCTTGCATGCGAGTCGGGTGACACGACTTCGAAGAGCGATGATCACCATGGGGAGTGTAAACACTGTGCAGCACAAGCCCATGCTCCGGATCAACGCGAAACTATTAACAGTAGATGCAACTGCATATGTGCAGTATGATCACACGTTGCATGGAAAGGATGTCAGGAAGCCAAGGTCCGACTGACAGAGCCCCTCTCTTGTGAAACGCAACTGGGATGCATGGCTCAGTACAGAAACCATGAAAAGCATCCTACACATTACAACCTCGACGCGGCAAAGCAACAGGATCGAGGGAACCTAAAACACAGCCCTGAGCAGCAAAGCTACAAGTCAGAGCATTGCCTCCGAGCAGCGAAGCTACAAGTCAGAGGCAAATCAAACAACGAGAGATTGGCCCGTACCCAGTACTCATTAGCACTCAGGAGAAGCAGCCAAAGAATCTCAGAAGACCTCGCCAGCAGCCAAGCACCACCATCGTGTACTCGGAGAAGAAGAAGAAGACAAAGCAGGAGCGCCAGCCACCCAGCTCTGAAGGAGTCGCGCATGAGGGCCGCCGCGACCAGAAAGTCTAGCGCAGAGATCAAAGCATAGCCACACAGGGGAGGCATCATCGGGGCTCGGCGCGCTCCTGGGACACCTCCAAAGGCACTGCTTGAACAAACTGATGCAGTCTTTCGGCAGCGGTAGCGGCAATGCGAATCGTGGCTAATTCCCAGTCACGAGCTTCATCGCAGCTCTGATGCCATTGACTGCGACAGGATCCCGAAAGTCTGCGGCCCATGCATTCACCAGCCGCCACGTCAGCCGCTCGGTTCATCTCTCGCAGCTCATGCGCACAGTGTCCCGACGGCGGCTGCCATCGAAGATTCTTGCCGTGCGAGGGAACCCATATGAAGGAAACCAGACAACCCCGAGTCCCTAAACCCCTAAGAAGGGAGCGGGCACTCTGCATCAAAAGCGGCAGGGACCCAAGGGCTCCAGCATCTCCCATGATAGATTGCATGGCAGACAGACAATCGGTGACAAGAAACACCTGAGTTTTCATGCCAGCTTGCCAAACACGCGACAGCGAAGCAAGGGCAGCATGCAATGCCAAAGCCTCCTGCCTGTAAGCTGCCTGATCTTCAGAGCCGGTGCCAGCAGCAAACCGCTGAGAAGGCTTACCAACCACGACAGCAAAAGCTCCAACTGATCGCTCGGACGACAGATCTGTGGCAATGTACGCCCATGGGTAATCCCCATGTTCGCCAGGCTGCAATGCGAGCAGAACAGCCGCATCAAGAGATCTGTCGAATTCCACAACATCAGACGAAACAGGAGCCGCAGGCATCTGAGGAGTGGGTCGGGCAAACAGTCGTTCCTCGGCACGGGTAGCAGGCATCGGGTGCCCATGCCTGAGGTCGGCATTCGACGCACGCACCCACGTAACATGAGGGCGCGAAGGGCCCGCCGCACCGCAACTGCACGTCATGCGAGCATGCTGCACCGGAAACTTGTTCCCCGCATTGAAGAACCAGCAAGAGCCCCCGCTTGCAGCGGCCGCCCGGCGCATGTAGCGGCTGTCACTCTCTTGCAGGGCGATGACATGACCCTGAAATCGGAAGCGGGCGTCTTCAGGCGGGGGTCCCAAGTCCAAGCCACGCGCTAAAGTCGGGTCAGCACGATGAAAGCTTTTCCACACTCTCTGGCAGCGGGCAGTGTACATCTGCCTATAGGACTCAAAAAGCCATTCCCGGATGACCGCAAAGTGTTCCCAGCCGACATGAACGCTACGGACACAGCCTTGATCATCTCGACGACACAAGAAGGGGTCTTCCTCACGAATAGAAATCCACCAGCCGAGGCGGGTCAACAGGGGAGAGGCGGCAGGCAGCAACTGATCCCACCGAATGTCGGCTCCTCGCCTCGGGAGTTGGCTGGCAAACGCAGGGGGAGCGCAAAGCAGACGCCAGATTTCGCGAAGAACAGCAACCTCAGCAGCGCACTGTGGTTCAAGCATCCAGCCGAGCAACTCGAAAATCAAGACCTTGGGTGCCTCAAAAGAGAAACTGTCGTCAAAGACACGAACAACCTCAGCACGAATCTCAGTCATGTCTTTAGCCGAGGGGAGCGCGAAAGCCGCCGCCCAGGTCAAACAAGGAAAAACAAGCGCACTCAGGAGAGACATGCGGATGCGTGGGTGCGCACACGTCCAGCGCAGAAGCCGCAGGCGCAGGAGAGCCTTGCGAAGCGAGAACTTAAGGAGGCCCCAGCCAGCCTCAAAGTCCACAGTGACACCAAGGATTTCAAGAGACGAAGGTCGCTGGTAACCAAACTCAGAGGCAATTGCATCCGCCCCTGCAGCTTCAGCCTGGCTTGCGACCACGGCACATTTAGGCAATGAAACTGCCAGACCACAAGTAGAGTCAAAATGATTAGAACGAAGCACCGCGGCCCGGAGCTCGTCCGGAGCATTGGAATGGCTCCAGATTGAACGATCATCCAAGTACACAATCCCAGAAACGCCACCTCGCAGCGTGACCTGTGCCCAGATATGACTGATGGCAGCCGCCAAGGTAGGGGAGAGAGGACACCCCTGGGCCAGCCCGAGGACAGGACGGAACCAGGAACTGCTAAAAGCCCCTCTAAGTTGTACGATGCGAAGAGCCTTCTGGTAGAAAGCACGCAGGATGGGCCACAACAGCGCAGGTGCACGCAAGTGATCAAGGAAGATCTCCAAAACGCCGTGCTGAATGGTGTCAAAAAAGGATGCAATGTCCTGCTGAATAACAGTTTGTGCACCTTGGTTCATAGCCAAGCTAAGCTGAAGCAACGCACTCTGGACAGAAGTACCAGGCAGCCCTCCCGCATCAGCCTGAGAAGCCCACGAGGAGACCCAAGACGCAAGCTGCTGATTGATCACACGCGCCCCCGCCCGCCACATGACTTGCGCAATAGTCAAGGGACGAAAGCCACCCTTCGGTTTAGGAATAAGGACGACGCGGGCCTGGGCCCACATGGAAGGCACATCTCCCACGCAGGCAAAGGTTCCAGAGGCGGGCCGCCCAGCACCACCACCGCATCGGAAGGATGAGCAGTAGGTGAGGATGCCACTGATCGGGCCCGGGGGCCTTTGCGCACATAGCCCGCATGGCCTGCACCAGACCCTCTGGTGTGATCTCCAGACAAGAATCCTGGGCGGCAGGGCGTGGCACGGCTTGCAACATGGCACGCACCGCATGCGTGTTCACAGGAGCAAACGCACGCGGAGCAATTTTGTTTTGCAAAGCGGCCGCAGCAGTTTTGACAGCCACCGCAGGATGAGGGTTATCCCCAGGGGCCGCAGCATCAGGAGGCCGACTTTCCCACGCAATCTGCTCATCAGCTCTGCGTTTAACAAAAGCACGAACCCTGGCAGTGTCAGCACGTATCCTTGCACGCCAAAGAAGTTTCTTAGCTTCCTCCTCCTGGCGCGTATAGGCAGCAACAAGTTCCTCCACCTGAGGCAACAGAGAAGTCTCACTGCCAGCAGGAGCAAAAGCTAACTCGGGGACTACGAGGCGAATCTGCCTGAGGGATTTCCGGATTCGGACAGCCAACTGCTCATCAGCCGGGCGAAACGTGAGAACCCTGAGCCTTTCCTGCAGCTTCAAAAGAAGTCGCAGGCCCCGGGATCTTTCGGGACGTTTACCAGGCCGCAGGACATTAGCAGGCTCGCGAGGATGCCAGGAAGCTCCACGAGCCACACAACCGGAGGCAGCAGGCTCACACAGGAGCTGCTCTGCCACATCAGACAGAAAGGCCCAGGCACCATCCAAGTCCATCTGCACAAGAGCCTCTTCAAGCGGGGCAGGGTCCACTTTGTCACAGAGAGTTGCGACCGCAGCCTTGTCAAGATCTGCACGGGCAGGGCGGCGCCGAGGGCCAACAAGCGGGGCAGGAGCATCAATCGCATATGTGTAATGCACCCCCAGATGATCGGAGAAGGCACAATCGAAGGAGTCAACAGCAGAAGCACACAGACGCCGATGGTTCAAGGCGAAGTCAATGCGTCGGACACGAACACCGTGCTTGTTGGGAGGGCCTGTGGAAGGCAGAGGCCGACCGCATGCACAATCATCTCCAGCAAAAGCCAAGCCCTGGGCCAGGAAGTAACCAAGGCGACCCTGTGTCTGCACAAGATTGAATTGAAGTCGCCCAAGATCACATACCTGAAACCTGTGGCTTCGGCACTAGACAGCACATCCTCCACCTGGCTTTGGGCGACGGCCTCATCGGAGGCCTGGCCGTAAAACGCCACAACCAAGATCGTTTCCGTGGTGCTGGCAGACGACACTTCATGAGCGTCGTGGCTGTCACCAGGGGGAACCTTCATGTCAAAAAGACCGGCAACATGCCGCGTGAGGGCAGGACACGGCACAATTGAACGTGCTTGAAGGGAACCTCACTAACCAAAGCAACACGGCACCCAGTAGGCTCCGGAACACTAAGGGCAGCCTGGCGACCTCGGGCCTTCCACTGGTTAAGGAAACCCACCCCAGCAGTCTCAGGCACATCAACTTCAGACAGAGCAATGATATGCGAGGGATCGCTCTGCAAAAGATCTGCAAGTGCACCGACAGACGAGGTGCCTCGTTTGTGGACATTCAAGCAGGACAGGCGGATCACACTGCCGGCAAGGACGCACGCAGGTGCACCAAAGCAGTATCAAAGACGATGTCGCCTTGCTGCTTCTTGGCACTGGCGGGAGCCTGGTCATGAAGCTTCCTGTACTCTTCCATGCTTTGTAAGCGTGTCTGGGCCATGCGCTTTGACTGAGAACTGGGACAGGCCTGCGCCTTGTCACGATGCTCTTGGGCCACCTTAGCATCCTGGAACGGAGCATTGCACCTAGTGCATCTCCATGCCGGCTTGAATCTCAGGGGGTAACGGTCGATTTTACTAGAACGACTGCCTGCCAACCGAGGCCAAAGGAAAGGAACGAAATCCCGGCTTTCAAGTTCTCGAGTAACCGGCAAGAGCTTGGCAACAAAGTAGGCATTGCGCTTCGTTGCCGAGACCTTTCTTGCCCGGGCCTCATTATCTTTAAACTGAGCTGGGCGGCGAGTGCGTCGGTGCCACTTCGCCCAAGACAGACGAGGATGAGCCGCCGTCTTGTGATCATTACGAAACCTGGTCAGAGTGTTTTCCCCAACCTTTTCGGCATCAGCAGCGGCGATGCCCATGTCACACCACTTGCATTTCCAGTACGCGGGTTCGTCCTCGACAAGCAAACGAACACATGATTCAAGGCGTTTCACAGGGCAGGGACGCTCCCCTTGGTGACACGCGGCGAAGTGACTGCAGAGGGCCCGACTAGCCTGCTTTTGGCTACGGCATTTTTTCCGGAAAGGACACAACCGGCACCGGGCAATGCCATCAGAACAGGATCTCCCACGAGCTCGCAAGGCTTGAACGAGCGGCGACTGCGGGAGAGTCTTGCTGGCGGCATGCACTTTGACAGTCTGAGCATCCTCCAGATCATCCTGAAGGGAATCAATTCTGACGGAGTTGGAAGCACAGGATGCACGAGAGCTCGTCCAGGCAGCGCCAGGCTCGCCTCGGGACCTTTTACTGCCTGTGACAGAAGAACCCGAAGAAACCTTGCACGTGTCACAAGCAGCCGCAGTAACCCGCAGTTTAAGATCACGCTTGCAACCAGAGGACCGAGGCTCGGTCCACACCGTACGTGCACTGGGCGCAGCATCGCGAGTAAAGACACTGCCGACAGGGGAAGCAACAGAAGAGGCACAAGACGAAGGCTTGCCCCCTGCACGGATACCCTTGACAGGGCCATCAGTAACCTGCCAAAACTCCTCGGGGTAGTCCTTGCAAGCACTGTTGTCCTTTGACGGCTTCAGGAATTCAAGGTGTTTGTCCTGTAGCCACGACACGGCAAGTCTTTTCTTCTGCGAAGTGTGAAACACCATGGGCTTGAAGCACTCAGAAGCTGGCAGAATCAAAATACGAGTATCAAAGATTCGGCCAAGAGCCCGAAGTTCGAGCTCAGACGCAAACGAGCCGGCTTGGGCCGCGGCAGTTAAATAGTCGTCCCAGGCCTTGTCTTTTGTGCCATCAGGCAACACGCCGTCCCATTCAGCCTGGTACTCATCACTATGTTTTGCTAAATGAGTGGCAACTTTCGCTCGCAGCTCCAAGTGATTGAACGCAGAAGAGCCCGACTTCTGATATATCCAATTCAGCGCCAACGCAAACGACGTGAACGCACAGTTCCCGTCTTTCGGGCACTCCTGGCGCTGCATGCCATCAGGGACAGTGCGAGCAGCTCCTCTGGCTCTTTTCGCGTCAGGCACCGCCTTGCCTTGGTCGTCGACAGCAGTTGCTTCGGTGCCCGCCGCTAAGTTGGGCTTCGCATCAAGGCTTGTTGTCTTGGCAGGACTCACAAAAGGAACAGCTCCTCGAGCAAGCGGCTTCTGCCTAGATTCAACAGATCTGGCTGGCGCGATCATGGCCCAAAGACACACAGGGTCCCCTTCATCAACCGCCACCTGGATTGGCACCAGATCCTTGTCGCCAGCCAAACAGGTGGCTCTGAATCGGACAGAAAGCTGACCCTTCTTTCGTCGATGCGAAAGCAAAGTGATCTCCTTGAAACCTTGCTCCAAGACAGGCAACATGTCATGAGCATTGAAGGCATTAGGCAAGCCGTTGACGGCCCAGACTCGGGGAGGGACCTCGCCATCGGACAAGGGGTGTCGCCAGGCTACGCGTTGCCCGAAGGCAGCTAGGCCAAGTGCTGGAGCACCACGTAGCGCACGCTGGAGGTAGTGGTCATGTGTCTCCTGCTTGGAAAGCCGAGGGATCCACTCCATGCGGAAGCGGTGGGTGTCACGCTTGGCCGGCTCCACGAAGATGCCGTGCTGTCCCGACGTACCCAGAAGGGTACCCACATCAGCGGTTGGCGCTCTCATAATTCCGAAAAGTTGCGTGCCGGGAGCATTTTTTAACTGTTCCTCAACCCACGCGAAGGAGTCAATTCCTTGGACATGGTGAGAACTGATCCACTTCATTGAAGCTCGTTCCGCCCCATTCTTGAAGTCCTTCCAAGTCTGCTCAGATGCGAAGGCATGAGGAATGCGCACATACAGCAAAGAAGTTTGCAGCTGCTTAACTTTGGGAGCACACTTAAGGTCCTTAGGGGCAGGACGCGCAAAGCTAGCATCACTCGAATGTTGTTCCACTAGGGCATCACGGAAGCGAAGCGAATCCCCGACACGGCCCGGAATGCGTTGGCTACCGGGGCCTTTACCCAAGCAGACCAGCAGAACAGAAAAGGGCTTGGCAGCAGACTGCAACATGCGCAACGCCGTGTTGCAATCGGCCTTGCTAGCGAGAAGCACTCCCTTGACAGTTTCATCAGTCTTGGTCTTCTCGATAAGATTGCCGAGACCACTGAAGGAAAGTAGTGGCGCATCCCAATCCTGCGATCTAAGTTGGAAGGCTTCATCCTGATCCTTAGCCCGCCGAGACACTACTGTCCAGGCCCGCTCCTCCTTTGGCGAATGGCTGGCACCTTTACCTTTGCCTACCTTTGGAGTCTTGGCGTCAAGCTTATTGAAAGCAACAACAGCCGCGCCACGACCGCCTGGAAGGGCCTGATCTTCGGTCGCCACGGTTTGCACAATACGACTCGGCTGGGCAGCCTGGGCAGCGTCACCTGTACCGCGACCATTGCCACGGGCCTGGACCTTGGTCGCTCGGCTCAAATGCGTTTCATCTTTCAGCAGGTCCTCTAAGGCCTGCTTGATCAACTTCTTAAGGAGCGGAAGCAACATCTTTTTAAGATCTAACCCTCCTAGCAAACCACTCATGTCATCATCATCATCCTCAGCTCGAGGGCCTGGGCCCGGATGGGCAGCCTCGCCTATGCGCTCACCGACGTGTGGATCATGACATCGCACTTTCCCTGCGCACAAATGGCAGGCAAAACCCTGAAGGCCGGAAAAGAGGAACCCGAAGCACCCACGCGCACATTGCACATACTCACTCACTGTCGCGCAGGTTGCGGCTGGGCTGGAACGGCCTACTCCACGCATGGTGCCAGGACTAAACCCTAGGGGATCGTAACACGCTTTACAGGCGGTTGGCAGAACACGACACTGGTCGGAGCCGCCACGGGCTTGAGGGCGCAGCCTGGGCACCACAAGTGTAGCAAGTGGCTTCGACCTACACCTACAAGGCACACTGCACAGGGGCACCCCTGCCCTGCAAGAACACCAGCAATGCACTTGATAGGCGTCGCAACGCTCGGCGCAGCCATGGCTGCAAGTCATCGCACGCACCGATTGGCACAGATCCAAGCCAAGACAACAGCAGGCATGTCCAATCGCATCGCCATCGTCACTGTGGTGTGCCGCGGCGTTACACACGGCGGCTTCTAAACACCGGGGCCCAAAGGAGGGGCCAGTCAGTGGGAAAAGTAGGGCCAGGGTCTTAGCATCATGGCCAGGACAGCTCTTTGCCCTTCGACGGGTCTTGTCAATTTCACAATCCAATGCGCAAGAAACATCACTAGTTAGGTCACTGACACTCTTTGCCCTCACGCGGGTCTTGTTTCTTTCTTGAGTCACATCCACAAGAGTAGCGCCAGCAGCTGGCACCGAAGCTCCCGCATCAGGTCCGACGCCAAGTGGCCGCCCCAGTTGCAGCACGGAATCCTTTGTGCGCTCGGAAAAGGCAGCAGCCCATGGTTCAAAGTCACCTCCAGCAGCAATGTCCCCGACTTCACGGGAGGTCTGAATCTCAAGCGGCTGCTCCATGTCCTCAGAAATGCTCGGGGCCTCTATCCCCAGTGGTTCCTGAGAGAAATCGTCGTCCCCCGCAGACACAGAGTCAATCTCAGAGCAGGAAGGAATGTCACACGTCGAAACAGTAGCAGAAGCAGGCTGGCAGTTGAGAGGGAGGTCCTCAGCACCACCGAAATGCAAGCTGTGTAAGATACCGAACTCGGCACCACTTACCCACCAGTAAGAGCAAGGAGCCCCATGTTGCTGAAGTCGCTGTAGATCATCTCGAGCCCGTGCAAGAAATGCCGAGCGGCGCAAAGCAAAATCCTGAAACCATTGCAAGATAGAGTCGACGACAGTTGGGCAAACCCGCGCCCGAACTGTCAAAGGGAACTTCATGCCAGCGATCACCCTGACCGTAGCATGCTCATCTTGCATCTGCCCCCTTGCCATCGGCAGCAGCTGTACCATGTCCTCTATCGCCAACTGCATCTGCAGCAGCGATTTTCTCCGTTGTCTGTCGTGAGAGCATCGGACATCCCCGCCCGAAGAGGGCGCCATCTGCACGAAGGATATCAGCCGACCCTGGCACAGGTCGTTGCCCGGCTCAAAGCGCTAGGAGCTTTCCTTCACTTGAGCCGCATGAGCATCTTTTGGTGGCCGGGTCTCACAGGATTTTTCAACAGATATGAAAAGGCAATACGTATCATACATCGGATCCAAGCCTCGCTCCACTGTTCGGGGATACACGCCGGTGGACATATGCAGCTAGCGCCCGATGCAGGCATCCTTCGGTATTGGCCCAATCCTGCCACAGAAACTTCGGATTATAGCGCATGCAGGCAATATAGTGTGATCATGAGTCCTTTAGCTGCGGCTTTGGAATCTTCTTCGACACTATGCCATAGTCCACCGCCAAATCGCACAGTGCTTCCTGCAGGCACATCTATTACCGAAGTTCAATTCTAATGAATCATGATTTGAAGGCCTGGGCTTCCTTCGCAGTCGGAATCTGAGGGAATAACCCCAAAAAGTTTTGAAGGAATTGGAAGTTGATGGGATTCATCTCCACCTAAGCTTCGAACACTGCTCCAACAGGCACCCTGATTATGATCCACATGAATATATATCTGACATGTTGCGTCAGCTTCTGTGATGCCCCGGGTCTGAGCACCCAAGTCCACGAAACTAAAGTTGATGGGCACCTTGGGCAATAATGTTCACGAAAGGGCTATATAGTCCACAAGCAGCAAACACACATGTACATTGCATATATATGATGCAGAGCAGCAATGCCACGCTTCAAGCAGCGAGCAAGCTTCTTCGGGCCGATATTGTTCTCTTTGCATATGGCCGCCATCCTTCCCTCCACATACACCTCGTCTGAGAGGAAGCTCTTGTACAGTTCCTGCCCAGTGCAAGTATGTATATGTATATATATATATATCGTATCTATACTCGAGACAGAAATAGGAGAAAGAGGAGAGAGAGATCATGAGAGAGAGAGGGATAGGAACTAAAGAATGAGTGGCCTTCAGGAAGAGCACCGTTCGAGGATTCGGCTTTGTGGGGCCCATGCTGCGATCTAGGCTGACCCTCGTATCTAAGATGACCGTTCGCGGATTCGGCTTTGTTGGGCCCAAAGTGCAATCTAGGCTGACCCTCCTATCTTTTAAAGTGGATGTGAACATGACACCTATCCTAGGGCTTGTATAAGCCCCTGGATCCGGAAGCCCCACAAGTGATCTAATTATTACAAAGCTCCACGGGGGTTCTGCAAGGTATCGGCTGCTGTCTGATCCACACGTGCAGCACAGCATCGCAGGTGAAAAGCAAAGTGCTGCATCTCAGGATTAGTGCCCAAACAAGCTAGCGAGACCGGATGACGAAGGATCATCCACCCATTGATCGGATTTCCTCTCCACGTCCTTATATCCATGTGATCGTTCACTCACCTGCGACAAGATATCTGCTGAATGCTGCTGAGCTTCGGCGAAGCAGAGCCTTGCGCATGGCGAATCGCACATCCAATCATCACCACGGTACTCCTTGGATTACATATATATATATATATATACACCAATATGTAGATTCTGCGTTGTGGTTTCAGCTGCAAGGCAATTGCTGCTAAGGTTCGTCGTACATATGATCAGCCTCCATGCCATCGTAGCAGAGCACCGCAAGCTTGTTTCGACCGAGCTTTTAGAAACCGTTGTACGTATCTAGTGAATTCGACTCGGTGTAGAAGCAATGCAATATCATCAGGACATTTTATTGCCCATGTTGCCTGGGGCCTTGCAATACACAGGAATTATGTATTAGGGTTTAGGGTTACGGGGGACTGAGTAAGTAGTTATATTTAAGTAGACTTATAAGTACCCTAAAAGGGACCCTAATTGGGGTTATATGGTCCTTATAAGTCCCTGAAATAACCAGTTACTATAAGTCCCCCGACCCTCCAAGTAGGCTTTAAGGTTTAGGGGCTATAGGGTAGGGTTCCGGGGTGGCAGGTGTACAAAGGATTTGGAGTGGCCTTATCTGGGGTTGGGGTTTGAATGCTGGACAGCTGCATCGGTGGCCCGTGTGGCCTTGCAGGACATGCCTTCAAAGTAGGATTTTGGGTGTGTTACCGGGTTTTGGCGGCTTTGGGATGTGCATGTGCACTAAATTAACTACAACAAGATATATTGTCTTTTCGGGCTTCTAGGGAGTCAAGTTCAGGGGTTGAAATATGTCTGAAAGGGCATGAAGATCTTATGAAATTCAGGCTTGGGGCTTAATAATCTTCCATCAAAAGTAACCCAATAGACAGGATCCCTGTGCATAAAACCTTATGAAATTCAGGCTTGGGGCAATCAATCTTCCATCAAAAGTAACCCAATTTAGACAGAATCCCTGTGCATAAAATCTTATGAAATTCAGGCTTGGGGCTTAATCTTCCATCAAAAGTAACCCAACAGACAGAATCCCCGTGCATTAAATCTTATGAAATTCAGGCTCGGGGCTTAATAATCTTCCATCAAAAGTAACCCAATAGACGGATAAAGCGATTGAGAAATGATGAATTCTCGCTGATCTGGACTTCATAACTAGGGTATGGGCTAAAGGGATCTACCCTAAAAAGTAACCGAATAGACGGATAAAACGATTTAGAAATCATGAATTCTCACTGATCTGGACTTCATAACTAGGGTATGGGCTAAAGGATTTCATCGTAAATGGAAACAAAGCTAGACACAAAACAACTTTGCCCGAAATGGCGATTTCTGGAACATGGTGAAACGAGGCGGTTGCGTCACAATTAGAACAGTCATGTTAAATGAGGCGGTTGACGTAGAGGGAATTATAGACAACAACGAATGCCTCTTCGAGCTAGGCTCAGAGGAAGGATTGTCCCGAGCCGACGTTCTCTTCATGCAGGGCCTTTTTGCCGCTGGAAGAGGGTACTTCGGCGCGGGCCTGTCCATGCAGGACGTCCGGCGAACCGACCAAGAGCCTCGACTCCTTGGAGACAATCTGCCCAGCCCGTTGGAATCTCGGGACAGGCTGTGCCTGAGCAAAATATCCCGCCAGCGGCAAAAAGGAAGTTACGTGAGCTGTTAGTTGGTTGCAATAAACACTGCTTGGACATTGCCTGCATCTGGACCAGCACTGTTCCCTGAAATGGAAGAAAACTAATGCATCCGTACTTGCGAGAATAAAGACTCCGATCAGTTGGGCAGCTCCCGTCAACTCAGCTGCAACGGCAAGGAGATTCAGAAGGTCCAGGGTTGGAGTTCCGCCGCCTCAACACTTTGTTGTCCTGGCGCGTGGCATCTGTAAGGCCTTGTCAGGACATGGTCGAGAGGGAAGCACACCCCCAGGACCCCCCCCCAAAAGAAACTAGCTGAGCAGGATTGGGGTTAGCAAAAAGACAGCCGAAGACATAACAAGCGATTCCGGTGCTGTGCCACTAGCTTCATCATCCCAGTCAAACAGCTCAAGAACTCAGATCGCCATAGGCTTAAGGGTTCTAGGCCCTTAGGCCTGCGTATGACTGGGCATTGCCGGACCTTAACCCGTCGGGCTTTGTTGATGCCTGCATAATTTGAGTTGAATTCTGCCATGGCTTACATGCCGCGCAGCGGAAGTCCCACTTTTGTGCACTCGACAACGCAATTTTCAATTTTTGATTTGTTCGAACTGAAAAGCTGCTTGCTCCACTATGACAGAAAAGTGTATGCGAAGGTCTGCAAAGCCAAATTGTGCAGAAGCTGCTTTGCCGTTTCCATTCTACAGTGTCGCATGGCACGAGGAGTCTCCTTTGTAGCCTTCTCTTGGTCCATAAGCGGAGATCACATGCATGTTTTGAACACGCACTCTTGTCCTCCTCGCTCTCAAGGCCAAGTAGGCAGTGCTATCTACAAGCCTTTCCAACATGCTACTGCGTGTGATGTTTCAGTTCTTGATGACAAATATTCCCACGGCAGAAGGGTCCGCCCACTCAGATTTTTATTTCGCCATAACCACAGCAAGTCTCTCATTTGACGAAGAATGGGTCCGGACGATGTTCCAATCTGCTGAACTAGGACTTCTGCTAATCTTGCGGCCGCATTGGCTTTTACACCAAAGGGCATCGGTCCATGCATGCGTAATCCTGGGTCCTAGGTCGGTGTCTCTTCTCGCTTCATTAAAGGAATTGGGTCCACACAAACCCTTCTTGTCTCATCACTCCTCGCGCTGGCCTCATTTCCAGACCATCCATCCATCAAGGTTCCCTCTCCTTCACCCGGTGAAGTTTTTTCCTTGTCCTCTGGCTTGGACCCATAACTCCGAATGATTTCTTCGATGTAACTTGGTTCATGTATACCGCCGTCTGCTCCTCGTTCGTCTCCAACTCCATGCCAAGGACTGTGGTTTTTCCCTGCATCGTACAGTTTATTGCCAACTTAGTAATAGGAATCTGACTGATTGGTTGGGGCGCAGAAATTCGGGCCTCGAGGTCCACCACTCCTTTTGTGTTGTCGCTGCGACCTGTCTCCTCCTCTTCCAGTGCTTGCTTGAAAAACATGTGGTGATGTCGTCTGACCGTGGAATATCCCAGGCTGTGCCCTGAAAAGCAACTTCGTTGGGAGCCTCTGTGTGTTCCAGGCAACAGCTTGCAGATCGCCACAGTGACGCTCCTTTTCAATGGCCTTGGTCCACACATCCAAATGTTCTGCAACTTCACGCGGATCTACCGTGTATAGGTCACTTCAAGAGGGGATTGCAAGTCCAACTTCCACTTTCGAGATCTCAGGCAAATCGATCACCTCCGGGATGTCGTGACCATCTCCAATCTAGTCCTCAATGTTCTCCATGAACTCGTCCTGCGAAAAGGCTCCGCCTTCCAAGGGAGGCTATCACAGCTTTTCTCCTACCTTCGCAGGGTAGATTGTCCCGCGTCTTACTTGGTGAGAAAACCATGCACTGGCCCTTCCTTAGCTTGTGCATCTGGCCATAGCGTCGTCGACCATGCTCATCACCAGATCAACAACTTCACCCGTGACACTGTGCTCCTTGACAATCCCACCCGTAACTCA